CATTTCTTCCGTGTGTGTGTGTGTGTGTGTTTGTGTAAGATATGGGCCACTGAGTTCATGGGAAGAGAAGCTAGGGAATTGCCTCTTAATGACACACACTTATCCCAATCTTATAACAGTTTTACTCTCAAGCTGCCCTGCTGCCAACATCCATTCAGGACAGCTGTTAGCTACATTGGCTAAACCTTCTGAACACGGACTCAGCAGTTTTCTGGAAGACAATTGGGCACAAGTCACCTTGAGAGGAGGCCATTCTGCATACGTGTCTAACAGCACCAATGCTACAGGGAGAAGCAATCCCATGATACGATATCCCGCTCCCACCTGCAGGTTTGCTAGACAACTCCTTCAGTAAAAATCTGGAAGATCTCTGAACATGTGGGAAACCCTCTCTTTCTTCCCCCTTCTCCAAATTAGGCCCTGCAGCACTGCCAGCCTCAAAGATGCTTGAAATGGGGGAAGGGCAGCCAGGGGAAGCAGCTATTAGCCAGCTCTAAGGTGTGGGGAAGGGAAATCAGCTAAAAAGCCACTTCCTTTCCTCCATGGGAAGGGAAGTCTCTTCAGCTGGCATGCCTCTGCAGAAGAGGGAAAGAAAGAAGACCCACTCCCCCTCTTTATCTCCCCTATTTGAGAAGGGAGAGGAGGGGGGATCCCTTATCTACTTTGGTACTTTTTTTTCAGTAGCAGGAGAAGAAAAAAAAGAAAGGGAGAAGTGATGAAGAAGGCTCTTTCATTGGCAGGTTTCTGATTCTATGCAGGATGGAATCTGATTTGTAGAAGTGAAAGAGAGGATGAGGATCAGCAACGAGGAGGCTAATGACAGCTCATTTGATGCTGGTGTAGGTTTCTGTCTATTCAAGCATGAATGGATAGCCCATCAGCTCATCAGTGGGGAACTCATTACTGTCCACATTTGGGCAAGGGTTAGGGCAGGACTTCCCAAACTTGTTCCTTCATTACCCAAACCCCACTTATTTCAGTATTTCTGTCTTATTTCAGTCCTTATTCAAATCTCCCTGTTGTGATTCATGGGTTCATGTGTCCTTACCCAAAGAAAACCACTTCTACCCAATTTTAGATAATTTACCCAGCTTTGGGAAGCATTTGGTTAGGGGATTCACAAGTCTCCCAAGGCTGATATTGACAGGTTTGTGTCACTTTAAAAAATTGTTCGGAGAGGAGAAGGGCTGAAACATTTTAGCTGTAGCAGCTCTCCCCTTGTTTCCCTCATGTACCTCTGGATTCACACACACCCCTCCACCACCACCACTACCACCATAGTGTCAAGTTTCAACAAAGTGTCAAGGGCCAGGAAGTCTCCTGCAAAGCCATTGGGGGAGGGGACGGCGGGCGGGGAGGAATTATAAGGGTGGCTGCAGCTTTCAAATTCAGTTTTTCTCAATTTTGTGAGAGAGCCAGCTTGAAGTGGGGTGGGGGAGAGGAAATGAGGTGAGCAACCCACACCCTTACTCTTTGGTAGGTCCCATTTTGAGATTTATGAGATAGGTTAGGCTGGAAGATAATAATGATTGGATCAATCACCCAGAATGATTGGAGGGCTGAATGTATATTTAAATCTTTTATTTTCTCACCTACATTCAAATACTCTACCAAATGCCTGCTATTTCAGCATACTGAATGGCTGGAGACAGGCGGTTATACAAGGGTCCACATGTATGGACATTGAACATATTGCATATCATCATATATGTATTAGTATGCTGAAGACACTGTCCTGCAGATGGAATGACATATGTTTTCTCCCACAGAAAAATCTCCACTGATAATATATGCGCTCCAAAAGATTCTTTAAAAAGCTGCTTTAAAGCAGTCAGCATAGATGTCTCTTGCAATAGCCTGGATAAACTATTGCCTCATTCAGGCACATTAATTTTTTCCCCCTCTCCTTGTACATTTTTCTAAAAATATTTGTTCTGAGGCTGGTATCGCAGGATGCCAAGTTTTAACCCAAAAGAGGAGGGGGAGAGAGAAAGTATGCTGTAGTTTGCGCAAGAATCCTTTATGTTTTGGAAGTTTACAACAGGGAGTGTCTTGTGCACACTGAGAGAGGCAGGACAGCACTGCCCTCCACTGCTAAATGAAACCTAGGCCTAAGCAAATACGTCAGAGGATATAGGCAGCATGTTTACAGCTTGTTGGGGCCTCTGAGTTACACAATAGCCTGCATAGCCTCTTAGCACATTCTGTACCAGTTGTAAGCATTGGGTGCAGCTGCTCCAGATGACGATTTAAGTGCAACAACAGATAGGTCTAAACAATCTTCAATTATCATTCCTGCATGAAGGGTTCTTTGCAGTTTTAAACATGGTGCAACTGCCCCATCCCTAGCATTTTCGCTGCTGTCTCTGAAACGGGGACAAGATGTACTGAGTGAGGAGGATTAATGGAACGAACTAAAATGACTCGAACTAAAATGACTCGCAGCAGCCTAAGATTGCATTCTTTCTCCCATTAAGACTGAAGTGAGCAAGGAGGACTTGCGGTATTTAATTTCCCCAAGGAGTGGGCTGCATTTATGACCAGAGATGTTTTTAACCATAAAGCCTAAGCCTTCAGCAGAAAACTTGAGTGACAAGCTTGTTTCCTGCTTTCCGTATCCCAAATATTTACTGGCGATAATGTAAAGAGTACTTTATGTGCTGGCTGCATGAAGGCAATCAATGTGGGAGATTTGTGTCATCATAGACCATATGTGCCTAATGAATGTTTCTTCTTCTGTGGTGCTGTAAATTGACTTTAGCCTTTTGTATCCACTGCATTCAGGGAGAAGCAAGCAGCCATTGTTACAAAACCACAGAACTGATAACGTGTTCTTGTTTTTAGATTTCTGGGCTTGTTATTTTAATGGTAACATTCCAAATGGTAAATAGATAACAAAAACATGCTTATGTAGGAAGAAAAATGGCAGGGTAGCTCTGTAATGTTTCAGGGACTCCTTATCGTAGTCTTGAACATCTCCTGGGTAAATTCACAGCTTTTGTTCAGAACTGTACATATTATTGTCCTGTCCCTAGCTGTCCCTCCTGCCCACACACACACTCTGCCAATTATACACAGGCACAGAAAAACTCTAGATTCTGCTTTCACGTAGCTTTGTTGGTTTATGGTATTGCAAGAGGTTCCACTTTTACTGGTTTTCTTTTCTTTTAATCTATAGCAATGATTTTCAACTTTGGCAACTAGTAAGAAGTGTGGACTTCAACTCCCATGCTGGAGCAGCTGAAGTCCGCACTAGTAGTAGGTTTCAAAACCCGGTGCTACCGGTTCGCTATCGGTAGCGTGCAGCGCTTCTGCGGGTGTGCAGATCATTTTTGATGATGTCTGGGCGGGTGGGCGGAGCCTCCCGCCATCGCCACTACCAGTTTACCCGAACCGGAGTGAACCGGGAGCAACACACCACTGGTCCACACATCTTAAAATTGCCAAGTTGAAAAAAAATCAGTAGGTATAGGTCCCCTTGACTTACAACAGTTCATTTAGTGACCATTCAAAGTTACAACAGCACTGACAAAAGTGACTTATGACCATTTTTCACACTTACAACCTTTGTAGCATCCCCATGATCATGTGATCAAAATTTGGATACTTGGCAACTGGGTCATAGTTAGGACCATTGCTGTGTCCCAAGGTCATGTGATCCCCTTTTGCAACCTTTTGACAAGTAAAATCAATGGGGAAGCCAGATTCACTTAACAACCATGTTACTAAATTATCAACTGCAGTGATTCACTTAACAACTTTGGTTGTTAAGGTCGTAAAATGGGGCAAAACTCACTTAACAAATGTCTCACTTAACAACAGAAATGTTGAGCTCAATTGTGGTCGTAATTCAAGGACCGCCTGTATGGTATATAGCAGTGATGGCTAACCTTTTTGCCGCCGCGTGCCAAAAGCAGGGGGAGTGTGGGGGGGTCACGTGTGTGCATGCGCACACCCATAATTCAATGCCTCCCCACCACGCACACATGTGTGCCTGACCCTCCCGCCATGCTCCTTCCGCTTTTGGCACACAACAGCAAAAAGGTTACCGGTGGGCCCAGTAGGCCTGTTTTTTTGCCCTCCCCAGGCACCAGAGGCTTTCTAGGAGCCTGGGAAGGGCGAAAACAACTTTCCCCACCACCACCTCAGAAACCCTTCGGAGGCCGGAAACGGCCCATTTCCCAACTTCCGGTGGGCGTGGAATGCCCAAAAATCAGCTGCATGCTGGAGCTGAGCTAGGGCAATGCTCGTGTGCCCACAGATATGGTTCCGCGTGCCACCTGTGGCACATAGGTTCACCATCACGGGTATATAGCCATATCTAATACTCTGCTAGTCAGTGGTTCTATACCAACAGTTAAATCTCTTTCCTAGCATTTCCCAAATGTAAATCTCTGGATATGTTATCTTACAAAGTCACAGGAGAAACAACTTCCATGACCAATGGTCAACAATGACCACGAGAGATTTAATGTGGGGAAAAATGGGTCCAAAATTGGATTCAAATCATTTAGGACTTCAAGTGGTTTCTTAGAATACCAACCACATAGTAATCATTACCCATGAGAAGATCAAATTATTTAACCCCACAAGTGTGTGGCCAATGAATTACTTCCCAGGCTGTCTCTAATTAGGTGCCTAGTGCAGGTATAACATTGTTAGGGCTGCTTTTTCCAGATAGGGCCACAGTGCATGAACCAATGAAGTGGATAAATGTTGCCTTGGCATTGAAATCATTCGCCTCTTAATAGATAACACTATTGATTCTTCACTGAAGGATAGCCTCTCTAAAATTCATCATACATTTTTACTCATGAGGTTTTCCAGTCAATAATAACTCTACTTCATCTGTATTAAAATTGATTTTGTCTTTGTTCATCCAAAACCTGCTTCTAGACAACTCTAAATGTTTTCTCTGCCTTCCTGAGATTTCTCTTTGGAAATAAGACATATGAATGTGTATTATTTGCATACTAATAATTATTCATCTCAATTCCTAGATGACTTTTAAAGATATGGAAGATAAAGTAGAACTTTTCCACCATAAAGTAGAACTTCAATTATCTTGTGGCGTTTGCAGAAAGTACTACTACTGTGCCTCCAAGGCTTGGAAAGGATGATCCAGAAAGATCCTATTCTCAATAGTAAAAAAATAAATCCCAGAATGTAAGAAGGAATGCATTCTTCCGTTTTAACATCTTATTTTCTTGGCAAGGTCAACCAGCCTCAACTCCCATTTCATTAACTTGTCCAGAAATGGCAAGTCCAGTACTGGAAAACAGTAATCCAAAATCTATTAGATCGTGAATGGTTGTCTTTTTGAGAAAGAAAAGACCATAACCTCCTCCCAGGAAATATTAGCCATCGTTTTAATATCTGAAGAATCCAAAAGAGGAAGGTAATATCTCTCAAGCTTCCATTCATACTCAAGCAGCGCAAACAGAAAGTTGCTCATAAGATCTCTAAGGTGTAAGATATTCTGGATGTATTCATACTGGATTCTGACCAGTGATGGGTTTCAAATTTTTTTATTACCAGTTCTGTGGGTGTGGCTTGGTGGGTGTGGCATGGCTTGGTGGGCGTGGCAGGGGAAGGATACTGTAAAATCTCCATTCCCACCCCACTCCAGGGGAAGGATATTGCAAAATCCCCAATTCCTCCTGATCAGCTGGGACTTGGGAGGCAGAGAATAGATGGGGGCAGAGCCAGTCAGAATTTTTACTACCGTTTCTCTGAACTACTCAAAATTTCCACTACCGGTTCTCCAGAACTGGTCAGAACCTGCTGAAACCCACCTCTGATTCTGACATAGCTCAAGAGGAAGCAAAATGTGTAATTTAATCTTTCATATTAATGGAGATTTGTAACTTCAGACTTCTGACATTTCTAACCAATAGTTCTCTGATCTTGAAACAGACCAACAACTTTTTGGCCAAGTTCTGGTAAGCAACTTTGACTGGAGATAAGAGTATTGGTAATAAACCTTTTTCCTCATTTCTGTCACAAAGTAGCCCCTAGAAGAGCTTGCATTTATTTGGTTCAGGGACTTTGGTTTTTTGAGTTCTGATTGATAACTACTTTCTGCTACTTCAGGTGAGTAGTATTCTGAAAATCCAAGATGGCTTTTATCTTGTAGGCTAAATTGCTATTGAATTCTGAACTGTAGCATATAATGACCTCCCATTTTCATTCATTTATGAAAACTGATTTTTGTACATTATAGATGCTTTTCAGGAGCTCATGCTGATTGTTAAGGAAAATGTAGTTTATGGAAACGGGCCCTTTTCATGTGGAAATTGGAAGGAAACCAACATATAATGTTGTGTATAGTCATTAAATCAAATTACATTTTAGTTTTTGATTGCTAGTCAGGATTTAATTTAAAAAACCAAAACAGTTATCAAAGCACTTTCAGCCCAATCTTTTTATTACCTTTACATGCAAGAAACACTACCACTTGCTCAATTTTTGTGATAAAGATGATATTCTCCCAACTAGCCTATGCATTTCAGGGAAATTAGCAACTGGGATCATATCACTATATCTGATCTTCACAATGCACATATAGAAAATGCTAGAATGTCAGTTATGACATTCTTCTGTTCTATTTGGAAAAACTCCTGCTTGAAATCTTAACAATTGATTGCCAGTAGTATTAAGAATATTGGTAGAGGTGAATCATAAGCCTGAATTGGTATCTCATTGGGCTCAAGTCTGTTCCAAGACATTATACCAGCTGAGGAGAAGGCAAATTGGTGTTTGTGTCCCATTCCATAAACCCTATTTGGATTGGCAGCTGAATCTTCAAACATTCTCCATAGCAATGCTTAGTTGTTTAATGTCGCTTTCCTCTTTTTGTGTGTGTGTGTACTGACTAGACAACCTATGACCCATTGGCTCACCCTTTCAGATATATTTCCTTACCTAAACAAAGAATGCTAGTCAAACCAACTGCCTTGCTCCCGCCGGCAGCCACATCACGTGTTCCACATTGACTTTCTCCATGCAAGCTTCTCAGGCTTCTCTGTTGACTTGTGGGAAGGTGTCTGGGAACATTGTAAATGAGGATCACATGAGCCCTGCAGCAGTGCTGACCAGCAGCGGAGCAGCAATGCTGAAATGGCAAGAACTTTCCAAAATTTTCATTCCTGTCGGAGTAACAGGTCCCACCATTCTGTAAGTTAGCCCATTTGAGGAACTTGAATAAAAAGAGTTTGCCCTGCGATGTACTATTTCATCCAATCAAAGGTTACAGACACGAGAGTTTTAGTAACACATAGATGTGTTTTTATCCACTAGCATTAGAGGAGTACAATTTACTGTGATAAAATAATGGATTATTGTTCATTCTATCTGTCTATCTGCTTTTAATCTATAAAAGCAGAGACAGAAATGAAACCATCCTTCTAATATCCCCACCCCCACCCCCAGGCTATTCAGTAAGTTAAGGATGAGACAGCATGCTGCGAGTACTGGACTGGAACTTTTGCTCCAGGTCCCCTAACCATTTTGTTTCTTTGCTTGTTTCATCGCAACTGTGTCTTCCATAGTTTCTGCCCTTCCATAAAATCAAGCAGAGATGGTGTGCTTGGATCTCATTTGAGGAAAGAGCTAAGTTTTTAGGACTCATTTGAAGAGCAATTGGGGGGAGGGGAATGAATGTCTGAGAAGACATCATTCTAGGGGGCAGGTGCTACAGCAGATAAGGCCAGGGGTAGGCTGCTGGGAGTTCGCAGGGATTCAGGAGAACCTCTAGCTAAGATTCTGTGCAGTTAGGAGAACCCCCAAATCCCACTCCTGGCTGTTTTGGATGTAGATAAGTGCAGGGCGCAGGCGGAGGCTCAGGAAGGTTGAAAAGCAGGCCTACTGGAAGTTCAGGAAGGCTGGAAATGGCCTGTTTCCAGCCTCCAGAGGGCTCCCGGAACCTGGAGAGGCTGTTTTCACCCTCCTAGAGGCTCAAGGAAAGCCTCTGGAACCCGGGGAGGGCATTTCCAGAGGAGGCCGACCAGGCCACGCCCACCATGGCCACAACCACCCAGCAACCGGGCAGAGAACCCCTTGCTAAAATTTTTGAAGCCCACCCCTGGATAAGGCCCATTTTCTGGTCCCATCTTCTGTTTGTTTATTCAACTATTTAAATTTATTATGCGTATTTCTATGCTACCACGATTCAAAAGAGTCTCCTAGTGGCTTATGTCAACTTGATGGAACCTGAAGCATACCAACTGTGCCTGATCATAGAGGGTGAGTGGAAACTATGGAGACAGATAGTCCCTCAGATAATCAGGCCATATATTGAAGGGCTTTATAGGTGATAACCAGCACTTTGAATTGTTCCTGGAAGGTTTCTGGTAAGTAGTGAGGCTCTTGGTAACCATGGAATGCCCATAATTGCCTGTGCTGCTGTATTCTAGACTGGCTGCAGTTTCTGAGTGTTCTTCAAATTTTACTAGATATGTCAAGAGAAATACATGTCGTTCCTTGAGGTTTAAACTTTTGCGTGCAGCAGCTGTGCTCTCAAGTTTTTTGTACACAAGGGGAGATTACTCTGGATTAGGATTTTGCAATACAGAAAGAGGAGCGTTTAAACTTTTTTCCCAACCTGTTTTTGTGATGAAATTTACATCTAGGAGGTTTGAGCAAGAGGCTGGTTGGCCTGGCAAGGAAACTCTCATTTGGAAATACAGTGCCCATGGCCATGGCAATGTTTATGTATGCTATGTAATTACTTATGTAACACATATGCTAGATGGTAATGCTACCTGTAGCAGCCTTGGAGAAGGAATATATCCAGTATGGGGCAAAACTCCTACTATTTACAGGTAGTCCTTGACTTACAACAGTTCATTTAGTGACCATTTGAAGCTACAATGGCACTGAAAAAAGTGACTTGTGACCATTTTTCACACTTATGATAGTTGCAATTTCTCCATAGTCATGCAATCAAAATTCAGACGCTTGGCAACTGACTCATATTTATGATTGTTGCATGGGATCCCCTTTTGTGACCTTCGGATCAGCAAAGTCACGCCCTTGTCATCTCACGCCTGGATTATTGTAATGCTCTCTACATGGGGCTCCCCTTGAGAAGCACCCGGAGGCTCCAACTGGTCCAGAATGCGGCCGCGCAGGTGGTGATGGGAGCAATGTGGCGCTCTCATGTAACCCCCCTCCTGCGCGAGCTGCACTGGCTCCCAGTGGTCTTCCGGGTGCGCTTCAAGGTTTTGGTTACTATCTTTAGAGCGCTCCATGGCTCAGGACCAGGGTACTTACGAGACCGCCTCCTGCCACCAATAGCCTCTCACCGACCAGTTCGCTCCCATAGAGAGGGACTCCTCAGGGTGCCGTCGGCCAAACAATGTCGACTGATGGCCCCCAGGGGGAGTGCCTTTTCTGTGGGGGCACCTACCATCTGGAACGGGCTTCCCCCGGAGTTACAAAACATCCAAGACTTACGCATATTCCGCCATGCCCTGAAAACATTTCTATTCCAACAAGCTGGTCTGGCCTAACTCTCCCTTTTAAATTGGCTTTTAAACTGGCTTTTAAATCAGGTTTTAGACCTCTTTAGATAAATTTGGATGTTTTAATCTTTGAGCCTAAATTACTTAATCTGTTTTTTAATAGTTTTTAACTTCTATATGTATTTGTATTTATTATGGCTGTTCACCGCCCTGAGTCCTTCGGGAGTAGGGCGGTATACAAATATGAAAAATAAATAAATAAATAAATAAATAAAGTCAATGGGGAAGCCAGATTCACTTAACAACCGTGTTACTAACTTCCCAACTGCAGTGATTTACTTAACAACTGCAGCAAGAAAAGTCATAAATGGGGCAAAACTGATTTAACAAATGTTTCACTTAGCAACAGAAATTTGGGCCTCAATTGTGATTGTAAATCGAGGACTACCTGTATAAGCCACGGTCTGATTCATTCATTCCTTATCAAAATCTATGTTGTTTACAGAAGTTTTAAAAGATCGTAATAATGTCTTTCCTTTGCCTACTCCCATCTAGTTTGGTCCTTAAGAATACATTTTGTTTTTCCAACTTATTGACTTTTCACTTCCTTCTTATCTCAATAACCATGCAAGCTCAACAAATACCTTGGTCTTATTTCTAACACTTTCAGTACAGACTATAGAACCGTGATGGCGAATTTATGGCATTCGTGCCGGAAGTGGCATGCAGAGCCATCTATCTGGTCATGCAAGCCGTCGCCTGTTGTTTTTCCGGGTTCCAGTTGCGCTGGCCAGCTGGTCTTCATGTGCACAGGAGCACTGGAAACCGGAAGAGCAGCTACCCGGTGCGCGTATGCGCGCACCGGGTGGCTGCTCTTCTGGTTTCCGGCACATGCATGTGCACCAGCCAGTTGATCTTCATGTGTGCATGTGCACCAGAAACTGGAAGAAATCCAAATTTGGCCGGTGCGCATGCACATGCCGGAAATCAGAAGAGCAGTCGCCCGGCGTGCGCATGCGCACCGAGTGGCTGCTCTTCCGGTTTCTGGTACATGCGCGCTCACGCATGCTCCCGTTTCAGCACTCAGTGCCGAAAAGCTTCGTCAACACTGCTATAGAAGTTAGTGCACTGATCTCAGCATTGCTCATGATAATCCAATGATTTATTTGAATCCTAGCAGGATACTTTTGAAAGTTTAAGCTACTTTCTCCTAATCCAGGGTCCTGAGATGTGCTGAATCTGGTTTTTTACCATTCGTATTGCATGCGTTGCTAGCACACTGACTCTGATGGAATACAATTTTTTTTGAAATCTTCAACTCAACCTCTTCCTTAGAAAAGCCATTTGCATTTTCACGCCCTCAGGTCAGAAACGAATTCCAACAGTGGTGGGCAAGCGTTTATCACCAAGGGACTGCTTGTCATGTTCTGCATCTTCTTGCTTCTTTCATTTGGCCTAGATAAGGGGGGAATCTTTATTTGCAGTTTTGGAGGCATGTCTTTTCCCAGACATTCTGCTGTCCATGCCACACTCAGGATATGCCAAGATAATCCCAGGTTTACTAGAATGCCACTTTCACCAGTTTGTTCTGCCACTTTGATCTGGAGGAGGATGAACTTTGAGACGTTGGCCTGCATTTCTTCCATAGTTTAAAAATCTGTATCTTCCTTTGCAATTGCCTCCATAGCAATCCATCTGAAGAAGTGTCTCTCCAACCACATTTTTGTAAAAACAAACACACACACACACATGCACAGCATGCGGTGCTAGAAACTAAAAGTGGAGGAAGAGGGCAGGGCTCTTTGTTAATTCATGGAATGGTGGAAGCTCTGGGAACAGGATTTTCAGCGATTAGCCAATTTGGAAGAAAAAGCCAGTTATGATTTGCTCTCCACTCAGGATTAAGCAGTGATTGGCAGCAGGACCTCTTGTGAACTCCTACCTTATGAGCATAGAAACTGAACCACACTGAAAGTGTTTGAGATCAGCAGATGGTAAGTACAATGTGCACAAACTGCAGATTAGTTTTAACGTATGTTGGGAATAATCAAGGCTGATGGTGCTGTAATCTCATTATGCCTGGAAGTTATGAAACTTAGTCAATTGTCCTGATTTAAATTAAAATTCCCCAAATTTTCCCATATCCCTTAGGATTCTCTTAATGATTTATTTCACTTAAAAATTAGGCACAGATAAGTAGATGATTCTTGATGAAGGTATCTTTTCTTTTATGTACACTGAGAGCATATGCACCAAGACAAATTCCTTGTGTGTCCAATCACACTTGGCCAATAAAATTCTATTCTATTCTATTCTATTCTATTCTATTCTATTCTATTCTATTCTATTCTATTCTATTCTATTCTATTCTATTCTAGATTTTTGCCTCTCTCCATTTTCCCATAGGTGGTTTGGTTTTGTGCCTTTGAATCAGCGTTAACTCCTGGGGACTTCCTGGACAGGTAGTCCCTGCAATTTCCACATATTAAAGCTATTTGTAAAGTCTATTTGTACTTTCTTATATTGTGCTCAAAGTACATCACCTCCAAATCCCAAATATTCAGTTGTATCCTTAGAATAGAAATGGTGCGGAAAGTATAAACAGAAGTGGGACATAGTGACATTGCCTTTTTATTCTTCCATAATAATTTGAAGAGGCTTAAGGTATATTTTATTCCACACACACTTGTATTAGAATTCAGCCACAGGCTAACATTCAATCACTGTTGTCAACCTAGGAAACTCTGAACAGTGTTACTCTGTGTAATGGGAAGTTGGCCACGTTGCTCGAGGACTATAGGAGCTGAATTTAAAAAAGAGGGAATGTCTGGTTGAAGACTAACATACTGAGAACAGTGCTTGTTCTTTCTTTTCTCCCTTTACTGCTTTTAATCTGTATGAGTTTGTGTTAGCTTTCACGTCCTTTGTAAAACTTTCAATACAATGTATTTTAAAAACCAAGTCATTTCCCGAGGCATTATTTGTAGCTATTATCTTTTTTTAATTGCCCTTTTATTTTGCAAAGTCATATCATGCCTTTTTTTTTCTGTTTACTTTACAACATTGCAAGATAATATGGCTCATTTATTATGGAGAAGTAAAGAGGAACGGCAGTGGTTTACTTGAAGCCATATATCATTTGCCCATGACAAAAACAATACTAGATTTTATGTCTTCACACTTCAAATGTGTTTTCTGGAACATGTTAACCCCATAACTGTTGTTTTGCGAATGACATTGTGAAATATTTTGTTGTTATGGGATGTGTAGAGATAGGAAAGAAGCTATGATTTAGAATGAAAACCTGCAAATCAAGTTTTCAAATAGTTAACTAAGGCAGTTTAATGTATAAATGAACTGTCTCTAGAGATAAAACATTTCAACATTATTGACTAGAAGGCTGATGTGGCTTGATTTTCACTGTGTTATTGTGGTTATTGTCTTCATAATCAGTATTTCCATATGATTATAGATTTTTTTTAAAAAATAAAGTATGCAGATTTTCAAGTAAAGTGTATTTCTCTTCAGCTATGATCAAAAAAGATGGAAAGTTTGGTACAATAAACATATTTAAAAGTGGCAAACTTGTAAGAGTTTGTTTAAAAACAAAGCTGTAAAAGGGAAAGTGCAATGCAAAATAGAAAACACTAATTCACACAATTAAAAATACCAGTGGCTCTTGTTGTTCCTTTTTTGATCTGCCAAAAAGGTTTTGTCCTGCAGTGAATTTTGTGTACTAATCGATTATGTCCATTCATGTCCCACACTTTTTTCCTGCCAAATGGGGGTAGGGTTAAGGTTATTGATTGATGATTGTCAGTTACCTCTGGAAATGTACATATCCACTGTAATCACAATATTCTTATTGTGATTCTTATTAAGCCCTGTAGGATGTTAGCACTCACCCCTCTCCTAGAAAAATGAAATATTTTAGGATATACTAAAAAGGCAGAATATTTTCCCTAAAAGAGAAGTAGAAACTCAGAGAAGCAGAAACCCAATTCCCTCCCCCCTTTGTCAATGGACCATCATCTGCAACACAATAGGACCCATCTAGCAACAAAAACTCACCACATGGCACCTGAGAAAATTACATCAGCCAGCAAGGCTAGCTAAGACCCCCACCCCCTGGGAGTCTGACAACCAATCAGGATATTCTTCCTGTGCCCCAGGAAGTTCAGAGCCCCGAGACAGCATAAAACCCAGGGACTCGCAGCATCTCTGCCCCTTTTTTCTGTTCAGGAACTCAAACCATGTGATCCTGTCCACCATTAAACCATATTTCCAAGCAGTCTCCATGTTTCCAGTGTCTTTTTCCCCATTTGGAGCTGAACCCAGAAGGATATTTCTTCCAACAACCTACAGCAGGCAAAAACTTTTTGGACATGAGATGTTAACGCTAGTACTGAGCAAAAAAAGAACATAGCCTCCCCGTGTGTTCAATAGGGAGTGAATAGGTTTTGGGTAGCAGATGGGGGCTGATTTATTTATTTAATCAAATTTATATAGCCACCCATATCATAAGAAGTGATAGAGAAAAAAACAAGTATGAAAACAATAAGCATGTTAAACATAGTCATATAACACACACACACACACACACACACACACACACACACACACACACACAAATGCAATGGAGACACCTTAAGCTTTCACTGGTCTTCTTCCAGGCCTGATGACAAAACCAGGTCTTGAGGACCTTCTGGAAAATAAGAAGGGATGGAACTAATGTTATTTTTGGTGGTGTGGGGGAGAGAATGTTCCATAAGGTGGGCACCACAGCAGAGAAGGCTTGTCTCCATGGACCTGACAAGTATAGTTCCCTGAAAGATGGAACCCACAGCATGCCTCTCTTGCTGGATCTATACTCTCCTGTTCAGCATGAAAGTTGGCATAGTTCTAGAATTGGCTGGCCTTAAAAGGCAAAGCAATTCAGTCTTGCCAGGTTTCATCCGAAGCTTGCTGTGGACCATCTAGACCAGGGGTAGGTTCTATCTACCTTTGATTTAGGTTCATAACGGGTCTGTGCACGGGCTCTTCCTTTACTCACACGTGCATGCGCTCCTCTGCACATGTGCTTTTCTATGCACGCGCTCTTCTGTACATGCACAGAAGCATTCTGATGACGTCGGGGTCGGTGGGTGGAGCCTCCCGCCGGTTTTACTACTGGCTCTATAGAATCAGTCTGAACCGGGAGCAACCCACCACTGATCCAGACCCTCATAGTCTCCAGATATTGGGATACAATGGGATGTACATGATATACCTCCAGATATATCAGAGCAAGTGTTATGGAACAGTCATGCATTTGATGAGTTGTGTTAAAAACATTGTGAAATTACTGTAATTAATTGGCATACACACATTACACTAAAAGGTCCACCTGGAAATTGTTTAATCAAAAGTAATCAAAAACCTTTTAATGTGGAAAGGAAGCATAAAAACCCTTTAGGGTTGGCCAAGGTCATGCTAAACCAGCTATCACTTTAGGATTACTCTCCCTGAGCTTATTGCTTTCTTATTTGGGCAACCCAAATATTGATATTCAAGGATGTTCTCCTCCCTCTCTTCATAGAACTAATTTGATGATTTGTTCATTGGAAAGGAAAGCAGGCAGACATGGTTCATTTTGCTTTCTCCTCCTTAAATGATATGAATGGCTTTTTAAAGGCCAAGTCATCCTTCTCCCAGATAGAGCAAGGCAGGGAGACATACATAACTGACAGCAGGATGTAACTGAGTCTGGAGCTGGGAAGTATAAATAAAGTCCAGCTTCTGAGCTTTGGACAAAAGCCATTTGTAACACAAAGTACATTCCGGCCTGAGTGTAACAAATCATACCAATCTCCTCCCAAGCAGTGACTTAGGTATTTCAGGGTAGGGATTTGCAGGAGAAGGGATTCTTTAGAGGAGGTTATAGGATGGAGAGTGAGAGGATGCCCTGAACTGTGCTGGGAAATCATCATCATGTAAAAGAACAAACTGCTTTTCTATTGATGGTCCTGGACCTGGTTTTTTTTGGGAGGGGGGAGTTCTCCAGGAAACATGCTTGTTCTTCTTTATTCAGTGGATCTCAAATCCATTGAACATTTAACCAGTAGAATGATGCCAGCTTCTGAAATCTGTCCTCAACAGCTCCTTTACCCAATGTCATTGTCTCACAGGTACTTTTGCTGCTTGGAGTCTCATTTTCACATTCTCATTGGCATCATAGGCTGAATGACTTGACCAGCTATACCAGCCCAGGGACTGGTCTTGAGAAGACTCCTTATCCATTAAGATTTTCTCTTCAGCTTTGGTAAGCTTTAAATGATATCACCAAGCTGTTAAGATTCAATTACACAGGACTCTTTGGTTTATAAAATACTCTCAGTTGTATTTTTAGGTGGTTTATTCAGTGAAGAGAAGCTTCTCTGATTTCTTCCCTCGACATTGAGTGACTCACATAAATATGAATAAATAATGTTAGCCTAATGTTAGCTAACAGAATGACTAAAGGGCATCAAATCTGTTCTGTTGGCCCCAAAGAACAATTCAAGTAAAACAAGGAGTTTTTATTTTAATTGGAAATGACGATTGTCTGAGTTTCCTATGATTGAGTTTCCTGATGACTTAACTTTAATAAAAGGCACTTTAAAGGCAAATGGACCTTAATAACATGCTTCTAGTTTTATATATTTTGTTTATTACATCAGATCTAGCGAATCTCTAGCATTCATGCTCCTAATTCAGCTCACAAAAATCTCTGGATCTTATATATGTATAAGATATACAGTATATGTATGTATGTATGTATGTATGTATGTATGTATGTATGTATGTATGTATACCCCTTTCCATAGCTACAATTCCAGCCTCTGATCCTGTATGTCCTTTTCTCAATACTTATTCCCCTATAATTCATGCTGCTATTCCATGCATCCACCCAACTCCCAATACACTCATATTTCTTTTCAGATATTCCAGGCCTTATGTGACCTTGAGGTCATTGCCAGGCCCCAGAACATTATGAGTATTTCAGAGAGCGTCATTAATCTCCTGAGCACTTGGTAATAGCTAAAATGGTCTCATTAATCTCTGAAGACTTTGTTGGTGTTCAGATGGCCTTGTGAATCTCTGAAACATCTCTGTATTTATAAGTTGAGGTCATCCTTTCCCCAAGAAGGGCACTGTTTGATTGTTTGTATCACTCAACCCAAAAAGTTTGGGAATAGTTGTGTTTGAGCATACCAGTTCTCTGAGAGCAAAGTTAGCTTTTTAGTGTTATAATCAGGCTCTCATGTAACAGAAAGTCTCTGCATGGATTGTGGAAGTGATATACTGATATAGTCAATGTGTCAGAATATATAGCTCCTGCTTTCAATTGCATGGATTTACTCTGTACATCAGGGGCAATAGCTGTAGCATTGCCTCCCCTTGGGTAACTATAAAAAGTTAAACCAAACAATGGAAGGAAGAAATTAGAATACAGCATGAGACACAAACATAATTAATGTCAAGATGCCAAAAACCTGTGTGTTTGCCTTCATGCAGTAAGACGGTTAATAGGATGGTGTAGAGACAGCATTTTACTTGGGCTTTTAGAAACTAGAATCAACTGGTGCTGAAAGAATGCTGTGTTTCCCAGGAAGGTTCTATGTAATCATGCATGTCAGTTTGCTGTAACCATGATCTCTTTTCTTTGCCTCATTAGACCTGCAGGGCAAGGGTGATGTTTTGCTTCCAGAATAACACCCAGGCAGCAATGTGTGGCTGATCAGAACCCATCTATTATGAAAGAACTGTGTCCCTTTGGATACCTGATACTATCCCAGCCTTGGACGAAGTCTCCCTTTCTCTCCAGACTGGGGAGCCCCAGCTTCTGCAAGGATGAGGAAAAGGAGTCGCAGATGGGAGGGGAGGATTGCGGAGCTGCAAACCAGCCCTCAGTGCAAACTGAGAACACAAACAAGAGCGAGAAGCTGATGTGAGCTGGGCTACGTGCCAATGAGGAGAGCTGGAACACAATGTACAGAGCACGAGGCAGCAAAGGGAACAGCCTGACTCAGCAACCAGGGAAGTGGGTGTGCTGTGTCGCTAGATAAACCACTCCTGCGGGCTTGTGGTCAGCAGCATCAGTCCTCCTGAAACACAGCAACAGACCACGGAGACTGCACGGCATAAAGAGAGACATTCATGGATTCCAGCTGTCTGTCTATCTTCACATTCTTGCCTGCCTCCCATTTCAAGATCAGAGATTCAGGAAGGAGTGTTCCTGCTCTTTTTATTTTTCTTACTCTGCTTTAGGTTCTGAAGCCATAGGCCCCACAGATCTCACTTTATCCATCTCTAAAATGGGAAACAGAATGATTGTGTTTAAAAGGACACCATCAGTCTTGCCTCAGAGAGGAGGCTGTTTGAGATTCACTATTGCAGATTACATTCTGAATGCTCAGCACTACTTTTTAAATCTCTTTTATTTCCACAGCCTGTACTAATCGAAGAACAACAGCAATGTCTTCACGATGTATACTTTTGATTAACAATTCACCTTACAGTTAGAGATGGGCTAATTTCTTACGTGTGGTATTCCTGAATTTATGTCTGCTTTTCAAATCTAGTTTAAAACCTGTAGAAGCAAATCTTTGTCCTGACAACTGCCCCCTTAGGCATTCTAGACCAGGAGCAAATAGATTTAATAGGATGGGTTATTTTTGTAACTACAAAAAGTAAAATAAATCCTACAAAGAGCCACAGTCAAAACCACTAGTGAAACTGCCTGATGATACCTTACTTTGCCCAGGGAGCCAGTAACCTGTGTAGAAAAGAAAAGAAAAAAGAAAAGAAACCTCTGTGCAAGTCAAAAACCGCTGATCTACTTACAAACGCTCTCTGATCCATAACAAGAAGTTGAATGACAGATAGTCCTCGACTTACAACCACAATTCACCCCAAATTTTATGTTGCTAAGCAAGACAGTTATTAAGTGAACTTGGCTCCCTTTTACGACCATTCTTGCCACAGTTGTTAAGTGAATCACTAGAAATGTTAAATTAGTAACACGGTTGTAAAATGAATCTGGCTTCCCTGTTGACTTTGCTTGCCAGAAGGTCACAAAAGGTGATCACCTGACCCTGGAACACTGAAACCGTCATAAAGATGAACCAGTTGTCAAGCATCACGTGATCATGGGGATGCTGCAATGGTCATAAGTGTGGAAAAATGGTCATAAGTCACTTTTTTTCAGCGCTGTTGTAACTTTGAACGGTCACTAAACGAGCTGTTATAAGTCGAGGACTACCTGTACTTTCTGCCCGCCATTTTTTCAGAAGATATAAAAATATGGCACTCTCATTTCCCAAAGAATAGCTGAGGACATTCTTGCCCTCTGGAAGCTTTTCTCAGAGGCTTTTGATGTCTTGAGCCATATCCATCATCCCCCACCAGCATAAGTGGAAGCAAAACACAGTTGGCCTTAGCAATGCTTCAGGCTAGAGATTACCTTTTCTGACTTATATGGGAGCTCAGTGTGAACGCACGAGTTTAAATCAGGTCAAAACTACAGGAACAAGGTATTGGCCAACCTCAACCCATCTCAAATTACTTGGGGCTGCTGAAATTCCTGTGCATGAATTTCACTTGGACTTTAAAATGGATCTTCTTTACTTACAGACTTTCCAATGACTCCTAGGAAAGAGGCGCTTGCCCCTGACTGGATGTGGATAAATATGACCTCACAAATTTGTGGTATCTGAGGAGCTTTTTTTAAAAAAAAAATCTTTGTGGCAAACTGCTTGCAGATTCATGCATAGGAATTTCAACATAAGTATTTCGAGGCTTTGGATGAGATCCCCTTCAGCATAAATTGCTCATCGTTGTCCCTGGCAGAAGTGTCTGTGCAGATGACCCAAAAAGTCAAGACGAGGCCACAGCCCTATGATCAAAGCCTTTGGCTTTTTTTACACACATTGGGAAGAGGGGAAGGTTTCAATTGCACAATTGTGAGCAGCATCTTGGCTTTTTTGACTGCCCCCCCTCCCCCGGGGCAGATAATACCTGGGACCCTTGGTTATATATCTCCCAGGAGGCAAACTAAGAATGCAGAAACAGCGAGCAGTTGAAATGATGGTGCAGTCTCCATCGTTTCTATTTCAAACCGTGGAATCGTGCTTCCCTTTTTTCTATTTCTGATCCTCTTCCCCAAAATCACCTTACTTTTACACTGCAAAGCCTCAACTTTTTTTTTTTTTTTATAAATGAACCACTTGAAAAATGTACATAACTCATTAGACTAATTTTCATTCCTGCAGCATCATGGAGACCAGTGCTGAACAATCATGGACTAGAACTTTGTTGACTAGCCTATTTGATAATCTAGCCTGGTTGAAACAGCCTCGATTTCCATCATCAGAAAATTGTTTATAATCAAGTGAAGGACTAGTTAACTCCAACTATTCTTCAGACAGCTGGTAGACCACAGTTTGGAAGTTTTTGTTTTATAGGAAGATTACATTTCCTAAGTAGTGTTGTAACAAAGATGCTCACTTTAGTCTGTGGTTAAGAACTCCTTAAAATATACAAAACATTTACCAGTGGTTATAGATGGTTTTCTGCCATATACTGTATGGCTTTAGCCATCAAACTACCCATTGCTAAGTCTGGAAGTGATTTAAGCCTTTTTTTTAAAAAAAAAAACCTGCCATAAATTCAGTGTGTAAGCCCAAAATATGAACTCGTCTAAATTAAACATTATGTGGCAAGGATTGCAGATGAGTGGCACACATAGGGAATGTCATTACCCAGACCTCCATCAAACAAAAGGGTGACAGATTTTCAATGTCCTGAGAAGAAAGTTTCATGGCATAGTCTAGAACACCTCCGTGAAAAGAGAGAACATAGACAGAAAAACCAAGCATTTAAATAGCAATGAAAAAGGGAGGAACAAAAAGATGTAGGATAAGCTAGATAAAATAAAGTTGATGAAGAACAGAATGTTGCTATGAAAGAAGAGGAACAAAGGGACTGCCAAGAGGTGGAAACACTCATCAAAATTATATGAGGAAAAAGAAAAAGCTTGACATCCTAACAGAAAAGAAGGTGGAACATTCAGTGGAAATAGAAACACTTTACACATATCATATCCTACTCTATTGTAATTTCTACAGGGTTCTTCAGAATAGATATGTCATATGCTTGCTGCATCAATACCCAAGAAGAATGGATGATAATTATATGACTCTTCTCTCAGTTATCTATCATTGGTGCAATAGCTAAATTTTACATTGCTGCAATGGAAAAAAGGCACAGATGGGCAAGACTGAACACTGTTATTTTTCCTTTTATATTGCGTTTTTTTTCTTCTAATTTGCTGGTTATGGATTAAAATAAATAAAATGTTAGAACGGAAAGGTAATTCTCACTTGTTTGGCCAGGGATTTCTAATCTGCTCCCTTCCAGAAGCATATTAGACTTAAATTATCCCTTGCCAACATTTGCAAGTTTTTACTGGAAAAATGGCATCAATTGGATTTTTTTTTTTTAAATAGGGGCAAGAGAAGTAGACATTCAGAAGTAGACACTTTCCTCAGTGTGCAAGTACTTTGGTGGAATATATTTGTTATCTTCTGGATATTTCTGCCCATCACTTAGTATTACGTGTAACGCAGAAATAGGTAAAAAAAGAAGAAAGAAATAGGAGCCAATGCACTTCATTGAAAGAATAAAACCAGAAAAGCCATGCAAATATAAGTTGAGCATTTGGCAATCTTGTGCAGATTTTCCCTGCAGTAAATAAGCATTGCAAGGGCTTTGGAGAGTTTTGATGGAAATGGAGAATAGAAAAATTCAGGACTGAACTTGCTAACTACAACTTATTCCTGCCAATCATAGTTATTAAGGAAGGCTCTTAGCAGATAATGCCAGTACAGTACAATTAAGCACATTATATAGTTATAGAAATGGGGGAGGGAAGGTTTGTTGAAACTTATGTTGAAAATTTGTTGAAACCTTATACTAATAATTGGAAATTTTGCTCAGGAGGATGTACAACTTTCCCAAAGTTTGTTTAATAATAATAATAATAATAATAATAATAATAATAATAATAATAATTTTATTTCTATACCGCCCTTCTCCCGAAGGACTCAGGGCGGTGTACAGCCTATTTAAAAACACAGAAACAAAACAACAGTTAAAATTTAAAATCATTAAATAGTTAGGCTCCAATTAAAATCCCAGAAATTTAAAATACCCCAATTTAAAACGTTATGTTAATGGCCCGGCCTGGCGGAACAACAGGGTCTTCAGAGCGCAGCGAAACACCCGGAGGTCGGAGATCTTACGTATTTCCGGGGGCAGTTCATTCCACAGGGCTGGGGCTCCCACAGAGAAGGCCCTCCCCCTGGGTGTTGCCAGCCGACATAACTTGGCCGATGGCACCCTGAGGAGACCCTCTCTGTGGGAGCGGACTGGTCGGTGGGAGGCTATTGGTGGCAGAAGTCGGTCTCGAAGGTACCCGGGTCCTATGCCATGGAGCGCTTTAAAGGTGGTAACCAACACCTTGAATCGCACCCGGAAGACCACTGGGAGCCAGTGCAGCTCGCGCAGGAGGGGTGTCACGTGGGCGCAACGAGTTGCACCCATAACCACCCGCGCGGCCGCATTCTGGACCAGTTGGAGCCTCCGAGTGCTCTTCAAGGGGAGCCCCATGTAGAGAGCATTACAATAGTCCAATAGTTTGTTTGTTTGTTTGTTTGTTTGTTTGTTTGTTTATTTGCCACCCTTCTCGTTGTGTGGGGCTACTCTGAGTGGCTTATAACAGTAAAACGGGGGAAAAGATAATAAAAAATTTAAACATAATAGCAGAGCAATGAAACAATAAAAATAAACAAGGAAAGCAGAGGGGGAACGGGAAGCGCAGAGAGAAGGTGGGGTTAGCTAATTTGTCTAGTAGCCACCACCAGTGTGGTACTCCTCTATTGGTTCCCCAAGCCAATTGGCAGAGATAGATCTTTAGGCCCTGAAGGATAGGATAGGACAGTGGGGGCAGACCTCACCCGGGGTGGGCGTGGGGAAGGATGTTTCAAAGGCTAACGCTACGGCAGGGAAGATTCTTCTCCTGGAAACTCTTGCCAGCCAGAGTTTCTTAACATATGGGATCTGCAGCAGCCCTCCTCTGCAGTGGTGGGATTCAAATAATTTAACAACCGGTTCTCTGCCTTAATGATTTCTTCCAACAACCAGTTCAGCAAACTGCTCAGAAAGTTAACAACCAGTTCTCCCGAAGTGGTGCAAACTGGCTGAATCCCACCACTGCTCCTCTGCCAACACATGTAAGGAAGGCTTGTCTTAGTGAGATGAGACAAGTTGGTGCCTTCCAGGAGTTTTTAATTACATTTCCTGTTACTGCTGAAATCTGGCCATGCTGGCATGATGAAAAATATACATATAGTCCAAAACTCTGGGGGCAAGAAGAGAGTAAAAGCCTGCTATAGAACCACACCTTGAAGTGTGAATGTAAATCTGATTGTATCACAGTCCACTAGCCAATAATATTTGCTATATGAACATGATGCTTCTATGAATGTCAAAATAAGTATCTCTGGTCCTGAAGCTGAGTTTCATTAACGTGCTGGATGGGACCAGATATATTTCCGGAGGATTGTTTTCAAAATGTATTGTTTGAAGCAATAGTGGGTTTCAATTTTTTACTACCGGTTCTGTGGGCGTGGCTTGGTGGGCGTGGTGTGGCTTGGTGGGCATGGCTTGGTGGGCATGGCAGGGGAAGGATACTGTAAAATCTCCATTCCCACCCCACTCCAGGGAAAGGATACTGTAAAATCTCCATTCCTTCCCCAATCTAGGGGAAGGTTACTGCAAAATCCCAATTTCCTCCAGATCAGCTGGGACTTGGGAGGCAGAGAATAGATGGAGGCAGGGCCAGAGATGGGTTTCAGCAAGTTCTGACCAGTTCTGGAGAACCGATAGCAGAAATTTTGAGTAGTTCGGAGAACCGGTAGTAAAAATTCTGACTGGCCCCGCCCCCATCTATTCTCCGAACTACTCAAAATCTCCGCTACCAGTTCTGCAGAACTGGTCAGAACCTGCTGAACCCTACCTCTGGTTTGAAGGCTGTGGCATTCCATTTAACAGAAAAGTTCATTTCAGACATATATCAAGATGCATCAGTGCATCCTGACTTTTGCTAGCAATCTCTATTTTCACAGGAATGACCTGTGGATGAGAAAGGATTGTTCCCTACAGAGTTATGAGAATGGCTGGCAGTTTCATTTCTAGAGGAACTTCCAAAGTTCAAGGTACAGGAGAGCTGTTGGTTGAAGATTTAATCTTAGTAAGATGCTTTTTGCAAAGATGCGAATTCCTTACAAAGTTTGGTCATGGAGTCATCTGGGACATATAGGAAGTTTGTTCCTGTTTATGTCAATGGTAAGAATTTAATTGACTTTGGCAAGCAGAATCAGGCACCTGAAAGGAATTCTTGGGCTTTGTTTGTTTATAGTTTATCCCAGGTCACATTGGTTTCCTTTTTTACAAACCCTCTAATTACTTTTAATATCATGGTCTAGTTCTTCTAACAGTTTCCGGATTGCAGTGAAAGTTGAGAAACGTGACAGATGGTGTAAATAAGGATATGAGGAATCCCCATGCCTATTTAGTGAATGCTATACTAACACTAAGTACCCACTTATACCCTTCCAAAATATTTCTATTTTAAACACTGCAGAAATAGCCTGAAGAATTTCAGGTGTATATAATCTAGTCTTTTCCTCTTCTTTATGAGATTGAAAAAGGCTTTAAATATTGTGGGAGATGGCAACACTGTTTTGATAAATCATGCTCTACATCAGTTACGCAGAGTAGTGTGCAATTTAATAAAGTATTAAAGGTTTTTAACTATGAGAACAGTATTAATATTAAAACAAAAGGGTGACATAAAACACTCAACAAAACTGACTACACCACCAATATAATACAAAACAATAAAGAAGCGAATCTCATCACCATCCTCTGAAAGGGTAAATTTATCAAAGGGCCTTGTCTCAAATATCATTAAATGTGTATCTTTCAAGTGATGGCACATAAAATAAGATCTCCAATAATGATAATTAAGTATGGGCAGGTTCTGGTAAAAGATCCTTCTGTCTGGGTTGTGTGCAGAAACAGGAGTGCCCTTGAAAGAAAGAAGAGTTGGGTATTGAATCTGTTGTTTTCCCACTTGAGTCAAAAATCCAGCAGAGCTGATTCCCTAGTTATTCTATTTGAGCTCTGTTTTGTATCCCTGCGAGTAAAGTCCTTGAGAAAAGAGGGCTAGGCCTAGCAAATGGAAATAACAGGCTCATCCAGAATGTGTCAGATGAGGAAGATTAAGTAGAAGAGGGGATTGTGATTGTTCTATGGTGCACACCGAATGCATTTTCAACTGTACTTCCTGTGATACCTCCTTCATAGGCAGCATTCCTGCTACCAGTCCCAGTCCAATTCCTGCTGTTGTGTGAAGAATACCAACAAAACCCAAGGGCTGTATCACAAAAAGTGTGCATATGATGAAAGTGTTTGTGTCAAACATATAAATCTGTCCCCCCAATTGTTTCTTGCCAGATTGGATAGGAGGGATAGAAACAATTGGGGGGACAGCATGCTCTAGGTCAGATAGGGAGAGGCAGCTGAAGAGGCAGAGAAGCAGAGACTTTTCTCCTGTGGCACCCAGCCTTTGGAAATCATTCCCCCCCATTAGAATTGCCCCATCCAGTGGTGAAATCCAACCGGATCTATCTGGCTCGCGCAAACCGGTAGTCCCGGTGGTGGGAGGCTCTGCCCACCTGCCAGGATGTCATTTCGTCCCATTTTTGACCCTCTGCGCATGCGCAGAAGAGGCGTGCGTGCTCACATTTCTGAACCAGTAGCAAAGGTAAGTGCATTTCACCCCTGGCTCCATCCCTGTTGGCCTGCGGCTTGTGATCAAGCTTGAGACCCTAGCCTATCTCCTGGTTGTATGAATAATATAGGTCGGATCATTCCTGGCCACTATGTATTTCTATTTTTGTTTTACATTATGAATATTTTGCATTTTTATTTGTTTCGTTGTAACCCGCCTAAAATCAAATAGAAGTTTTTTGGAAGGGACGAGTGTTCTAGTTTTGGATGCCCAAATTTATTTAGGTGTTCTGATCATTTCCCACAGGAGGGTCATTTGCTGCAGAGAAACTGAGTCAATGACTAGCCAGATGCTTCTTCAGCAAAAATGCTGGTATTTCCCTCAACACAAATCCAGACAGCGATTGCCAGATGTCTCTGCTCATCTCCTGGTGTTATCAGTTGAATCTACGTCATCCTCTTCCTAACCTTGTTAGTCAGGGACAGCTAACCTGTGAGAAAAAGCAAGGTCAGAAGGAGGGCCCCAAGGAGACAAGATAATTCGATCTCCTGGGTCAGGTCAAGAAAGAAGGAGGCTCGCCTTTCTCTGGCCCCACCATCAACAGCACTGAAAAATGCTTCTTCCTGCCCAAGGCCTCCCCTGCCAGCTGGCCCCCAACCCTTAAGGAACCCCCTTGGTAAACACAGGCTGAGTTGCTAATTGAGAAGCCAACACATTTGCCTGTCAGACTCCGCAATGAGCAATGCCTAGCCTGTCAGAGGGAGGGGTGGTGGTGCAGCAGGGTTTGCGTTGTCATCCGTGCCTCGCCTAGTGCAAACCAGCGCTGAAGGGGTTAAAAAGGTGAAGGCCCCAAGCCTGATATTGAGGAACAGAAACAGGCGGGGGGGGGGAGGAGAGGGTGTGCGCGTACGCGTGTGAGTGAGAGAGAAAGAACAGAACATCCTGTACCCTTGAGTATGAAAAAAAAAAACGGTCCTGTAAGGGCAGAGTGGGGGTGGGGGAATGGAGGCAGGCAGGCAGGCGCTGCTGTGGGGGGAGCAGCTGTGCTGAAGGCGTGTAAGAGGTGTGTGAGTGCATTTGTGTGGGCTTGAGAAGGTTGAGTACATGTGCATAGACAGAGAGTATGGAGATTGGGGGGGGGAAATAACTTTGTCAGAAGACGAACTCCTGTGTTGCATTTAAAAAGAACCTTAATCAGTTAATCAAATGATTCTGCATCAGTGAAATCGGCAGAATTAACCTGTGACTGGAACAGGAATTTCTTGAAAGGGGCACAGAAAGGCAGACACCCTTCATTTGCAGAGGCTGCCTGTAAGTGTTGCTGCAAGGACTAAAAGAAGGCTCCTGCCTCAGCTGAGGAGAAAGCAGGATTCCTTCTCTAAGATGGTGCTCACCAGTGGCAGGTTTGAGGCAGTCCTGAAAGTAAAAACGGAGAACTTCCATGGAGAGATTATTGAGAAGCTTCCTTTGGTCATCTGTTAAAGGTTGAATAAAGCCCTTTTATTCATGATTATCATATAGCAAAAAATAGTAAAGTCATCCTTAAATGTTTGCATCTGGACCAGACTTCAGAGAGAAATCCTGGGCCCCCAGTCAACCCAGTGAGCAAGGTCACCAACATAGCTTCCCAGTGAAATCATCTATGTTGCCCATTTAAGTGCATCCTCCCTTTCTCAACATCTAGAGGCTTAAATTATTGAACCTTGGCTTATCATCTCTCTCTTTCTCTAGAGCCATTACCACAAAGTCATAGGGATATTGGTTCTGGCTATTATCAGTTATGGGATATCTCTTATAGAGCCAGCTGTGTGAGGCCTGTGAAATCCAGTAGGGATTTTTCATAATATAAGCAGAGGGTGGGGAGGTGCATTCTGCCAAATGTGCTCATTAAGTCAAGAATAAACATAACACGGGGCAACGAGAACCTTAGCAACAGCATCACTAAGAAATGATGGTGATTAAAGAGTGACTCCAATAATGCCACGAAATAAACAACCCTTGTCCAAAAAAAAAAGTGTCTCTGAGAACATTAAGAAAAATTATACAGAGGTGTTACCAAGCAGAGGACTGTTTAAGAAGGAGCTTGCAGTGATAATGTGACAGTGGACAATGAACAATGAATAGGAGCTGATGTGTGATTTGGGGAGCTAAAAGTATGTGCAAGCAGAATTTTATGGCAGGAGTTATTTTTATGTTGAATAAGATGTTCTGGGTTAGGAAGGGTCAAGTTGCATACAGTAGGTCACAGAGTTGTTTGCATGGGTTATAGAGTTGTTTTGCATGGCCTTAACCCTCACATCAGTTCTTCGATTCCAGCATAAAGCTATTTGCATCCACACTCAGGGCCAGTACATAGATGCAGTTGTTCCCATGGGCAAATTTGTTTTTCTTTTAAGTTATGGAGAAAGTGAAAGACCAATGTGTTGACTGTAACATTCCTACAATATCTTTTCCTTATATATACATGTGTGCCTGTGTGTCCTTTTTTGTGTGTGCGATGGCAGTGACACATTTACAAATAGGTGTCTCTGGAATCATTTGACGAGTTGTCTTGTAAAAGCCTTGACTTGTTTTTCTTACGCTGCTGGTGAGATCCTAGGGACTGCTACAATAGAGTCTTGTCAGCAAATACCATTTGTAAATCATTAGATGTTAAAAAACTACATGTGCGCATCTGCTAATGAAATCAGCGTCTCACAAATGGCACTTGCAGGAAAATTTTATTATCTTATGTATTAATTGTTAGACTTACATCCCTCCCTGTCTCCAGGGGCTCTAGCTTGCTTATTATACAATGTACTCCCTTCTCCATTTTTTCCTCCCCACAGCAACCTTGTAATAAGATAGGCTAAGTGAGAATGACTGACCCAACATCACCTAGGGAGCTTTCATGGCTGAAAGTGAACCCGAACCTGTATTCCCCCCCCTCCTTGTTTTAAGCCAACATGTTAGGTGCTACATCACAACATTGATGGTGGTCTTATCCAGTCCTTTAATTTTCTCCTTGTGTTTCACCACATTTCCTGGAAACAAACACATCCTTAGTAGAAATTGCTTAGGATTCCTGCCTTAGGACACTCTTCTGAAGCTATTATGTACTTTTTGTAAATGCTGAAGTCCCACCAGAATTGCTATTCAGCTCCCTCTCATATGTTAATTGCTTCATATCTTTGCTGAAATCTACTTCAGCGTGCAATAGGCATACGAACAAGGGGATCATTTCAGGAATAGGACCTTATATCAGAGCTGATTCTTCTGTTTGCCAAATTTTTACGTTCTGTATTGATCCACATTTCTAAGAGGTCTGCCAGACTGAAGCACCACTCTAGAACACATGCAAGGTAAGACCCCGGCTAATCACCTGATGCTGTCATTGGGACTTACAATCATGAACAGTTTTGTTATAGCCTTGGTCAGTGACATAGCTATGTGTGAAAAGGCTTCAGAAACAGTAAATGCCACTGCCTTGTGCTTACAGGGACAGTCTCTGTTCTTATTCAAAGGATTCTTGAAACATACTATATTTTATTTCCTTACATGAGTTTACCATTGCATAATTAGGTAAATCTTGTTGAGTGGGAAATGTATAATAAAAACAAATCCTTTATTTTTGTGGATGAAGGAAAGATGGGTGTTTAACAGAGACCTGAAGGGAGAGGATAAGGCACTCAATAGCTGGCCAGCAGTGAGTACCAACTACCTGACAATGGCCTGTTCTCAAGTACTGGCAAGAAATAGCAAGGTCTGATTAGCTGGTATGTTGAAAGATCTCTGCAGACTTTCAAACATAGAAACAATCCTGTGGTTATAGCATTCTGTTGTCCAAATAGTTCTGGAAATTGTCAAGACAGTCTGGATCATTCTCAGGTGTGCTTTGAACTGCATTCAGAAGAATTCAGACATGGGGAAAACCTGATCATCTGGAAGTGCTTCTTGGTACCCTAAGGAATTAGATTGCAATCCCAGCCAGCCGGTGTGAATAACTATTGCAATCTTTTGAATTTTGTGAGTGGTCTTATGCTTTTCTTATTGGAATTCTCAGACTAGAGAGATAGAGTTGTCGCCTTGTGTCATGATCTCCATCTGAGATATGAGGCTGGGGGGAAAAAACCCTCAAAGGAGATAAAGGCCAAGTTCCAAGGAATTGGCTTCCTTCATCTGCAGCTTTCTCTTTCTGATTCATTGGGATACAACCTAAAGAAACACTGCTTCCTGGGAGTAGAGGGGCTGCCACTCAACTCAAGAGTTTTGCTGCCCTCTTCTGGACTCTCAAATGTTCCTCAAAGACCTAAAAACACAGCAAATGTATCCCTGCCTGAAAAATGAAGCATCATTACAACAGTATGAGGTGCCATCATACCCTCATCTACTAGGCAATGTGTCATAGTGGGACTTACTTCTGAGTAAACAGATTTGTGCATGCATGTTTAAATGCCACATTAAATTCATTTCTGAAAAAGTAAATGTGGTTATATCCAGTAGCTATATTTTGTTCTTTGTTATGGAAACATGTAAGTTCTAAGGGTAGTCAAAATATTTTGCTGCCTGAGACAATAAAGAAGATTTTTACCCTTGAGATACATCTCATATACAAAATCCACCAGAATGGACAATTTATTACTTATTTACTGGTGGTAGTTATACTTCTACAAAAACAACTTCATCTGGTTTATGAATAGCAAAACAATTAAAGGAATAATAATCTCCTCCAAAATAATAACACTCTAGCTAAACATTTATAAGACAAACAATTGAGTAGCAGGGAGAAGAAAACAAAGCTAAAAGCTAAAATATGGATTCAAAATATATACATTTTACATCTAGCTGGATTTTCAAGTAGCTGCAGCACATCAATTTGGAGAGCGCTGATTTTCTCTGGTTGACAGTGCTTTTCCAAAGTAACATGCAGAGGGCTCTTTTTTATCTTGCTTGCTCTCCACTCTTCTCTAGAGGTAGAAAAATGCTAGAGATTGAGCTAGCGAAACTGCCATGTGCAAAGCCTTCTTCTACTGACTAATTTTTCTCCTTAACATCTTTTCATTCCAAATACGATGCTAAGAGTTTGTCTCTCAAAATCTGACGGTATTTTCATGATATCAGGAGAAGGAGGAGAGAAGATTCAGAGGCCTAACCCTTCTGATGATGATGATGTGCCAGAGTTGTCATGAAGGGCACAGGTGACATCACAAACCATGTGAGGTGTAGTATTGTCACAGGTGAAGGATGGGTTGGTCTGAAGTCAGGGCAGGGTTCCACCAGATTTCCTGGAAGTTTAAAGCAATATGAAGTACAATGAGCTGATAACTACTAACAACATGGTAACTGCAGCTACCGGAGCTACAGCCATCTATTTGGTGTCGAAGGCCCTCCTAGCAATTCTAAGAAGCCCCCCCTACAGCCGTGATTCACTGAACTTTGCCAGTGAGTTAAATGAAATAAGGGTTGAACATGCTCACAATGTATGTTGTTGCTGTTGCTCTCGTTCTCTTTCTCTTCCTTCCTGCCAAGCTTCATGGAGACTGATATCCAAATGAGAAGTCTCACAATCCTCCGGAGATACATGGATACAGAAGCCCTGGTGGAAACTCTAGGACCAAAGTCCTGTATATTTAAATCCTACATCTCATTCTCCTACCTTTATTCTGTAATGGACTGACAGCCAATCTTTTCTCACAGTGACAAACACTTGACCCCTGAGTATCGCTATTTAGTTGGACCAATTCATCTCAAGCTCTTTGATTTTAATCTTGCCAGTTCTTACCTTCACATCAGCTCTCTAGTTTCTTCTTCCCTAGAATTCTCCACCTCCCTTGAATCCTAAAATATCTCCCCTCTTTCGTCTAGGCATGAAGAACTGCAAGGGCCAATGTCTCTCCCCAGCCTTCATCTGTATTTTGGCTGGGAATGAAAAAGTCTCTTTCCTTCCTGATTTCCTGGTGAAGAAGGGGAATGTTTCTCTTCCTAACAGCAGGAAATGGGTAGGGTTTCCCCCAGTCCAAAAGTCTTTTACTCAACTTCAGGCAGTGGAGATTTGAGAATAGGAATGTCAATCTCATTGTGACAACAGGAAATAGGTAGGGAAGAACTTCTATCTCTGATATGCCTTTCTCCTCTCCTCAGTCTGGAAGTCTCCCTTTAGTTTCAGGTGGGATGGGATGGGGTCTTAGTTTCTTAGTCTCTCAGTAGCAATCCAGCCACCTCCCCCAATCTTCAACCAGTTATCATCATCTGAGTATGAAGAATTATTAGATACCAGTGCCAAATTATAAGGCCAGTCTAGCAGTTTGGGTTTATGAGGGTAGTGGAAATGGGAAACATCTTAAAAGGTTAATATTCCCATCTGCTGTAGATGTTCTCAACCACTTCTCATGTTTTCCCTGTTTCTGGGTCACCTTTCCAGTGTTAACTATTATTTGCAAAAGACCATCCTGCTTTTAGGCTCTCTGTTTCTGAATTGATAACCTTCCCCTTCCCACTTACCTCTTCTGATTCTTCCTGGAACACTGGCTGATATGTTTGTTTTACCACTGATGAGTCATCTTGATTGTTGAACTAAAATAAAATAAGGGGGAAAAAAGAGAGAACTGGGAAATGCACACGAAGCTCTTGCTAACTGTATTTTATTTGGCCAAGGGTCACTGCGGAAAAGAAGCATGTGGCATATGTAGGGCCATGTAAGGTGGAGAAATGGGGGTACAACAGAGGTGGGTTGCTCCTGGTTTGCACCGGTTCGCAAGAACCGGTAGTAAAAAAATTTAGTAGTTCAGAGAACCGGTAATAAGATTGGCTGGCCACGCCCCTGAACCGGTTCCCGGCCTGGTCGCCGCTTGCTTACCCCGCCCACCGTCATTGTGTGCATTCAGCCCCGGGACTCCGCCCTTTGCCAGCCAGGAGCGCTGCCGTCAGTTGCTCCCATGCACCTTTCTGCCTGCCTGCCTGCCTGCCTGCCTCATCACTGCCACCATGAGGAAAGGCCCCGAAGTTGCGCTGCCTGGGATCCATGCTGCAGGGAGAAGCCAGGTAGGGTTGGGGGGACGCTGCCCGGAGCTGAACTCAAGGCTGGCAGGAGGAGGAACGTTGCCTCTTAGCCGGCTCAAACTGTCTGCTGCCGAAGCCTGCCGCCATCCCCTCTCCCCTGCCAGCTGCTCCTGTGAGAGAACTGCTGCCACCAAGGGCGAGGGGGCGGTGGTGGCAAGGATGGGCCGCCGGGGCTTTCTTGTCTCCCTGCCCGAGCAGACTTCTGGCATAGCCCCAGGCCTCTGGAGGGAGGGAGGGAGGGGGGAAGGGAAGCCCTGGCCTGTTGCTCCTGCCACCGCCACCCCCTTGCTCCCAGCAAGAGCAGTTCTCGTGCTGCCGCTTCTCCGGCAGCACCAGGAGCAACGGCTGGGGCAGAGAGGGCGGGGAAGGCTTTGGTGGCAGGCCGTTCTTGCCAGGTAACAGTCAGGCTGCTCCTGGAGCAGCCAGGAGAAGGAGAAGCTGCCAGCAGAGAGGCGAGCTGCCCCAGGAGGACCGGAGGAGAGCGCAGCTACTCACTCATGGAGATCTATCCGTGGGAAAGTAGGCGCAGTAAGAAATGCGTGAGCCAGGAAGCGGTTAACCCTCCCTGGCCGAAGAAGGTTGCACAAACCTTTGCTGGAATGAACGTGCAACCCTCTCCGGCCAGGGAACATAACCGCTTCCTGGCTCACACATTTCTTACCGCGTCTACTTCCCCATCGATAGACAGGGCCAGATTTTCCTATAGGCTAACTAGGCTTCAGCCTAGGGCCTCAAGATCAAGAGGGGCCTACATTCAAATTGTTAGCAAAATTAAAATTACACTTTCACTATAGGTGAAAGGGCCTCATAAGTGGAATAGCCTAGGGCCTCTTTTCATCTAAATCTGGCCCTGCCGATAGATCTCCATGAGTGAGAAGCTGCGCTCTCCTCCGGTCCTCCTGGGGCAGCTCACCTCTCTGCTGGCAGCTTCTCCTTCTCCTGGCTGCTCCAGGAGCAGCCTGCCTGTTACCCGGCAAGAACGGCCTGCCACCACAGCCTTCCCCGCCCTCTCTGCCCCGGCAGTTGCTCCTGGTGCTGCCGGAGAAGTGGCAGCACGAGAACCGCTCTTGCTGGGGGCAAGGGGGTGGTGGCGGCAGGAGCAGCAGGCCAGGGCTTCCCTTCCCCCCCTCCCTCCCTCCAGAGGCCTGGGGCTATCTTTAGCTTTGCTCAGCTGGCGTGGGAGGCACGGGGCACGGCGGATCCCTGGGTGAGGGATGGAAGGAAGGAGGCCTGATTGGCTGACAAAAGTGTCAATGGAGGAGCGGAGGATGCGCTTATCCCTGACCCTACTTAGCGCCTTTCTTCTTCCTAAAACCAGGGACCGCTCTGCTCTCGCAAGGCACAGGGACTTCCCATCCCGCTCCCTCCATTGGGACTGAGGAAGACGCCTCGACACCCCTCGGCTTCAGTGGGTGCCGCTGGCAGCCCCAAACAAGTGCCTCCATCTTTGCGGCTGCGGAGCTTGGGAGGGGAGGCCGGCTGGGGTTTCCATTCGATGCTCACCAGGGGCTGAGTGAGCCTCCTTTCAGTGCACAAACTCAGGGCACCAGATAAAAGGCGGGCTGGCAGCTCTGGCGCTGCTTTGATGGAGCCGGGTAAACCGAGGAGAGGAAGGAGAAGGAACTGATGGGCAGGCTAGAGTAGCTCGCTTTCCCCTCAGTGGGGCTTCCCTGTTGGAGCAGCAGCAGGAGGAGGAGGAGGAAGTGGCAGAGGAGGCTTTTCTGGCTGCCTGGCCGGGACCCAGAGGCGGGTGGCTGTAATAGGGCACTGGGTACGCAGAGGGGGAAGAAAGAAGGGCGGGTGATTAAATGTCTTCTGAGTGTATCTATGGATGTTTTTTTGCATTTTTTTCTGCAACCTCTTAAGGTTGTAGAAAAAAATGCTTTTAAAAGTAAAAAAAAGAGTTGGCCACGCCCACCTAGTCACATTACCCCCACAAGCCACACCCACAAAATAAGCCACGCCCATAGAACCAGTAGTAAAAAATTTTAGAACCCACCCCTGGGGTACAAGACATGTTGACCTGAGCAGGAATGTCAAAAAATTTAAAGCAATTGTTTGCTATCAAAGAATTGACATTTTATTGTAGCCGCGTTTTAAAACAAATGCTACATTAGTTTATCCCTGCTAGGAAAATAGTATCAGTATATGCTTTGTAAAGACCCATTGAGTCCAGCTGGGCTGCTGATTATGATATCCATCCAAACATTTCTTTCTTCCATAATGTTTTTTCGACTTCTCACTTTAACCAATTGTTCTGAATTCCAACGTGGTCTTGGATCCAAATACTAACCAAGACCGACTTTGCTTGATTTTCAAATTCAGCCAAGATTGGCTAGAAGGTATCACCTACTGAGGTGTATAACTACCGTAATGACCTGTCTAGTCAAGCATTTTGTCCCAAGAACAACCCAGTATAAACCATACAAAGACACTGTATTAGAAAGAGCCACAGTTGCAAGTAGAGGAGGGCAGGGCAGAAGGGAGATTTGACATCAACGACACAAACGATGCTGAGACCCTAGAAAGAATGCGAAGAACATAGAAATGATAAGGGGACTGGAGACTAAACTGTATGACGAACAGTTAAGAGAATTCGGTATGTCTAGTAGTCTAACAAAAAAGGATTAGGGGTGACATGATAGTTGTCTTCCGGTACTTGGGGGGCAGTCACAGGGAGGAGGGGGTCGGCTTATTCTCCAAAGCACCTGAGGGCAGGACAACAAGCAATGGTGGGAAGCTAGTTACAGAGAGATCCGATCTGGAGCTAAAGAGAAATTTAGCTGTAATATAATACTTCTAATTCTATGATCTCAGGTTCCTATACTATAAAATGTCAATCTTCCACTTTTCTCTTTTCTTTAATTTTATACTCTTCTCCTATGAAGCAATGCATTCATCTGCTTATTACATAAGTAAAAAGCTCCAAAAATTTGCAACATTTTCTTAGAGAGTTTGATTATTTTAGATGTCATTTTAAACCTTTTTGTCTTTATAATATTCCTTTTGAAATGCAAAGTTTGGTAATACACCAGTGTAGTAGCACTGTAGATTGGCATGTATTTATAACAATATTGGCAGAATTTTTAATCCTTTTCATCTTTCCTATTACCTATTCTTTTAGCATCTTATAATGTCACTTTGTTATTTGTGTCTTATGATTTATGTTGATTGCTTTTATCTAATATCTTATGACTATCACTGAGTGTTGTATCTTATGGTTTGTGATGATTGTATTATGATCATGATCATGATTTATCACTTGTTGCTTGTATGTACACTGAGAGCCTATGCATTGGAGATAAATTCCTGTATGTCTAATCACACTTGGCCAATAAACAATTCTTCTCTTCTCTTCTCTTCTCTTCTCTTCTCTTCTCTTCTCTTCTCTTCATTTCACAACCTTTCTTGCCCCAGTTATTAAGTGAATCACTGCAGTTGTTAGGTTACTAACACGGTTGTTAAGTGAATCTTGCTTCCCCATTGACTTTGCTTATCAGAAGGTCACAAAAGATAATTACAAGTTCCCAGGACACCACAACAGTCATAAACATGAGGCAGTTGCCAACTGTCTGAATTTTGATCATGTGACCATGGGGCTGCTGCAATGGTTGTAAATGTGAAAAATGGTCAAAGGTCAATTTTTCAGTGCTGTTATAACTTCAGATGGTCACTAAATGAATTGTTGTAAATTGAGGACTACCTGTATATGCAGGATGTTCCAGTGCAAAAATATTTTCACTGAAATTTTAAACTTTGATTTCCATGGAATTGGAATTTCATTTTTGAATTGTTGCTCCCAGGGTTATCTACAGACTCTTTCTATACTCCATCTGTAAAAGCAAGCGTTCCAGGAGAGCTCAGTCGGCTTCTGATGTCCCTCAGTCCGAGCCTAGATGATGACACCAAGAGGATGACACTTCATAATATTGCTCAGTGTATCTACTTGAAGGAACCTGAGGTGAAAGTCCTACATTACAGGACATACTGTAGAATGTGATGAGAAAGGTTGAGTCTTATGCAGCTGCAGAGGTCTATAGCCCAATATCTTCAGCCTTAAAAGTCCCATTATTACCATCCCTCATTCCATTAGAGATCAGTTTCCAAGATTGTGTACTTTTTCTGGAAAAAGGGGATGAGGGATTCTGCAGAGATCAGATTAATGTTCTACTGGGAGATATTTAAGTGTTTTCACTGGGAGATATTAAGCTAGATTTTTCAGCAGAAACTGAAAGATAATAGATCACAACTGATAAAATCAGCAATTCCTATCTGTACATTAGCCTTCTGGGAAAATCAGACTCTGGCTGGACCTGGAACAGATATTGGAATTACTGTTCTGTTTCTGCAATGTGCATCATTCATGAAGTCCTTGAATGTGAAGGGGAGACTACCTTTGTCCTAATGTACACTTAAATGCAGGTAATTAGGATATATTCCATCCCAGGATAAACCTGGGATCTGTGTGTACTCAGAATTCAATACAGAGGTCTTTTGGAGATCAATTGATTTCCTTTGTTCTTTTTTGAACTTGGGGACATTAAGTGTAAATTAAGCACTTGTCCCCTTGTTTAGAGATCAAATCCCATTTAAAAATAAAAATCAAAAACCCCAAAGCGACTCTAGTGGTAAGGTGTTTTTTTTTTTTTTAACCTTCCTTCCAGTTGCCTTGCCCAGTGATCCTTGATCCTATGTGAGTCTCGCCAAAACTAAAGCTCTCAGAGTATGTTTTACTACAATTCCCCTCAATACAGTACAGAGTTGATGGGGCTTGTAATTAAACACATTTGGCAAGTGAGAGGAGGCAGGCTGTCCTACACAGGAATACCCATAGGGGATATCAAAAAAGTCAAGACTGCAACCATGCATTTTGCTGGGTGGAATTGATAAAGACATGAAATACATTTGGCATTTATTCCCATAAAATGCAGATTATGCTATCCCTGCACCCAGGATCTGCAGTTCCGTCGTGAAACTGAATTGATCTTCAGAGTCACCGTTAATAGAAATGTATTGCATCCCTCTTGACAGTTACCACTTTAATGTCTATATTTGGTCCGTGATTTGGTAGCTTAGCCATCAAATCTTACATCATGCAGGTCAGATGTTGTTATGGTGAATATGACATACTGTATTTGTCGCATTTCAAGTATGGTGATTGATAAGGCTGATGTGCCTAACCACGTAATTGCTTCTTTCTTACTTCCTAGGCAAGTGGTTGCACCAATGATGACATAAAATTAGTGGCCTCTTTCCTGGATGATACGGATAAAGAAACTAAAACTGAGACCCTGAATGTCTTCAAAGCTTTCGCTACCATCTGGAAGTTTAAAATCAAAATCCAGGTAAACATTTTTGGAAATGGTGTATGGATCCCAAATTTATCTCTAGGACTGATTTCTTGTAGTAATGATCTTATAGTTTTTATTTATTTATTAAATTTATGTATTATCTATCTCACTAATAAAGGTGACTCTGGGCAGCATATAAATCACATATACTCATATAAGACTCTTATATGTAACTGGCATTAAGGATGTTAGTAGCTGCCTAAACATTCATAAGGATTCTGACTTCAGCACACTTTCTACAGATGTGGTCCTTTTATCCTGCATTTGCTATTGACTTATGCTTTGCTTCCTTTTTGGATGTTTTTAGGTTTTTTTCAAAGTATGTTTTGTATTTTACTTTCCAAATTGTATTTTAATTATTTTCGGCAGTCACTCTAGTCTAGGACATTATTAGAAAGGATAGGATAAAAATATTTTTTAATGAATAAAACGAATACAGCTATTTAATGCTCTACTTTGTATATTTTCCCTTGTGGGGAAATATGGTCTATAAAGTAATTCAATATAGAAAGTGACACGGAGGGGAGGGGAAACATACCCTTGTCTAACAATCTCCTGAGAGATTCCATATTTCTTGCAAAGAACTAATACAGTATAGCCCATGATCTATGGGTCATGGTTTTAGACATATTTGGGCAGGCAAAAAGAAAAAAAAATGGAGCAGGAGTGACTTCCAACTTTCTGTAGCTTCCCTATTGACTTAGCCTGTGGGAAGCTGGCAAGAAGGACCAGAAATTATGAACACATGTCCTCAGCTGACCACAATGGTGCTACAGGGTGGCACAGCCATACTGAAGCGGCCACAATTTTGCCAATGTAAGTAGTCTTAAAATCCTTGAAATCTCAATCTCATAGAATGGGTCCTGGATTTTGGATGTATTCTTTAAGTTAGTCATTTGAAATACCTTGATTCAAAAATTGTTGCCCTGCGATACACTGTTTTCCCAAAGAAAGGTTACAGACAGACAAACAGATAGAACAGTTTTAGTAGTACATAGATTCCAATAAGTTATACCTTTTAATTTTACCTTTTTTTAAAAAAAATCTTTTAATTGTTTATTTTAAAATACTGTAGATATCAAAGCATCTGAAAAAACATTCCAACACTAAAAATAGTTTATAGACTCCTAATGCATTCGAACAAATTGTGAAAATAAGAGATGTTTTAACTGAATATTCTGCCATTTAACAATTTTATGCATTCCAGATTCTTCTTGCAAAAACTCAGATTGTTCAATTTCATTGACAATAATATGATCTAACCCAGTGGTCCCCAACCTTTTTATCGCCGCGGCCCGCTGAGCGCGCGCAGGGGTGGGGGCACGGCCCAGGAGCTTTTGCGCACGGCCCATTGCGCACGGCCCAGGAGCTTTTGCGCACGGCCCAGGAGCCTTTGCGCTGCAGCGTTCATGTCCCCCGGCCGCTGCGCGGCCCGGTGCCAGGTACTCCACGGCCCGGCACCGGTCCGCGGACCGGGGGTTGGGGACCACTGATCTAACCTATTAATGTAATTGCTTGTTTTTGATTACCAAAAAAGCCCTTTTAAACTAGGATTACCTATCTAAGTATAAGTATGCAAAAAAGGGTCAGAGTTATACTTCCTTGCCAGAATCTTCCCAATTGGTCTATTAAACATTTTGTACATAATAGTAGCAGTGCAAATGTGTTATTATACACTAGTGATATATTATTGATAGTAAAATATCAAATTTATGAAAGATAAATGCTGTATAAATGAATATTACTTCAAGACTGATATAGGGACACACAGTAGTGATATCCCTAAGTTTATACCTTAAAGTTACTTCAAGCAGATTGATGGAACTAACCAATTTAAAAATTAGAGGAGATAAAAGGTGTCCTTGATTAGTTCCACATGATATGATAACAGTCAAAGAGGTAATTCCATTTGTAATAACTCAGCAAAGGAAATTGAATACTACAATTTGATCCAATTGATAAAGAAGGAGAAAATTTGCATTCAGGGAATATATGTTTCAAAAAAAATCTGTTGTTATCATTTCTTTCTTTTTTGTTAAACAGTTTATTTATACATTTTCACATTACATACATACATGCTTCGCAAACAGCATATTGTCTGGATCATTTTGCTTATATAATAATATTTTTCCCCTCCTAATTTCTACCTCTATTATCCAACCATTTGTAAAAAAAATTCCATGTTCAAAAATAGTCTTATCTTCTTTTTCTTTCATTTTTAATGTCAATCTGTCCATTTCTGCACAATCTTAAAAAAAAATTAATTACATCATCTTCTGTAGGCATTTCTTCATTTTTCCAGTGCTGTGCAAATACAATTCTTGCTGCTGTCAATACATGTAATATTAAATATATATTCCCTTTGTCAAACTTTTCTGGTATTATGCCTAACAAAAATATTTCTGCCTTATAATCTAAGTGCTGGTCTGTTGTACCATTTCTAATGGTTTTTTCTTCCACTCAATAAAAGCTCCACCATTAATTACATTTTTTTCTCAATTATCAGATGCTTGACATTTTTTTTTAATAAAATGAGATGGTGCTGGATGGATGATGAAAACCAATATTGCCAACAGAGTATATAACTAGGCTGTGGTCAATAATTTTGCATCAACATTTAGCAAGCAAATTGGAGAATAATGTGCATAGTCTGGAAGTTGAGTGTTCATGGCAACTGGACTTCTTTTCTTTTTGGCTTGAAACATTTTGCTGCTTATCCAAGTATCTTCTTCAGAATGAAGACTGCTAGTCTGTTATTCTGTTGGGTCTCAAATCAAAAAGACACCAGTTGCCACGAGTCAACTTCCAGGCAACTCTGCGTGGATGACTGGGAATCTTCATTAAAATATTGTGCACAGTGAGCATGATCTTTACCTGTCTTTAAAGTCCCAGTTTTATAAACCTCACTAAAGAAACTTGGAAAAACTTTTAAAAAGCATCAGTTTGGATTTTGAAATGTACTGGAGCAGAAACGTCAAAATAGGTCTCATAATACGTAAGAGGATAATCAGGAGTTTTTCCTGTTTCCAAAGCAAAGTTTCTTTGGCAAGATGGAAGTGCAGCCTAATAACCTGCTTGGTCTTACATAATCTTAGGAAGTGTTATGTTATATAAAAATTGATCACTTTGTTCCTTTGTTGTGTTTAATTCAGTTTTATGTAATTGAGAGTAACATTTTTTTTAAAAATGATTTATTGACTCATAAATGATCTATCTCTCTATTTCCTGGGCATTCTCTATGGTCTATATAATAAAGAGTACATAGTTGCAATTATTTCAGATGAAAGATTAGTAATTACCTTTACTTTTAGTTTGCTCCCAATACTTTTATTATATATCATGATTTTGCTTCAAAACATAGAGGGAATTGTGTTCCTATGCAGCAAGAATAAATACTATGTGTAATTGGGATTTTGAATTATCTGCATATACGCTCAAAAGCATATTTTCCTGTTTCCATTTGCCAATTTTTCTTTTTACAGAGCATAATGAGTAAACATGACCACACATACACACATACACACCAGTGGTGGGTTCCTCCCGGTTCGGCCCAGTTCTCCCGAGCCGGTAGCGGTGACGATATGATGTCACTGAACCGGTTCTGCCTCCCCCTGCGCCCCCCGCACCCCTCCCCCCCGCATTATTTGTACCTTTTATTTGGCCCCACCCCCAATCTATTGCTGCCTCCTAAGTCCCAGCTGATGGGTAGAGGGAAAAAAACTGTTTAAACTCTTGCTGAGGGGCTTCAAAGGGCGACCCTACAGCTGATCAGTGTTAAAAGAAAACAAATGAGTAGACCAGAGCCTGCAAAAATACATGAGTAGATCGGTACAGTTCTGCAAGCAGTTAAAAGCCTGGTAGACCAGTACCTCTGCTAAAGCCTAAATAATTGTCACATGACCATCAAGCCACGCCCACAAAATAAGTCACACCCACAGAACCGGTAGTAAAAAATTTTAGAACCCATCCCTGACACACACAAACACACCTTAAAGGAATTCCAAACAGCCAAAAAATTTACAGCCCATTTATAACAAAAAATTTTAAAACTTGTGAATACTTTAATGAAGTTATATTTAAATATAATCTAGAAAAAAATAAGAGATCCACACGGAAATGCAATACATTCATAAATAATCAATGGAAAAAAAAACCCTTCTGGATTGCTTATTTCTTGTTCTCTTACAAATGTAGAGTAATTGTGAATCAGAACTACTATATAGTTATTCAATTTTAAATTTCCACTTATGTAGACTAGATCAACTGATTTGATGGATAAAATACTGTTCCTTTGAGGAAGGACATGCTTTTCATGTATAAGAAGGGAAGTTCAAAAGTAATGTTCCAAAGTATTACTTCTCAGGCAGAGTAGTGGAAGCTTGGAATCAACTTCCAGCGGAGGCAATGGGTCAATCATTTGTAACTAAGTTTAAGCATGTTTTGGATAAACACATGCCCCGTCACCTGGCAAAAAAATAAAAAATTCAAAGGGCAGACTTGAAGGACCATTAGTTATTTTTCTGGCACCAGTTTTCTGTGCTTTTCTGTCTCAATTTTGTAAGTGTCTGCCTCTTCTTGGAGGTATATTTACAATATTTGCCTTTCACATAACTAATAGAGAAGCCATATTAGGCTGAAACTAAAAATGGAAAGAAAAAAGTAAATATATACACACACATTCACTTATATTTCAAAAAACTAAAATAAAGATGAAATAAATTGTTTTTGGGAAGCGGACATGAAATTTTTAAAAGCTAAAACAAAAATCTCCTTCCACTGAATTTACAGTTAAAATTTCAATGAAAAGACATTCTTCCAGCTGCCAGTAGAAGGCACTATGATCAAGGGGTATTGATTGTTTTTTTAAAAAAAATAAATTCACAACTTTTAAATGAAAGCCAGTGTGCTGGCTAGGGAATTTGCTAAAGTTGAGAAGCACTGCAGTTAACTTTAGAGATGTAGCCTTAAAAAATAAAAAGTCAACTATTGGCACTGCATCTCAAAGATACACAGATCGTCAATTCTTCTTATGTATCTTTCTTTGCAGGAATACATCCCCCAAATTATCGAGATTGTGACAAGCAACTGGGACAACAAGATGCAACTTGCTGGTTTGCAGCTGCTGAATGGGTTGCACTTACCAGATTACACACACACATTATTGACAACGCGGCTTACAAACTTTATGGACATTCTGCTCACAGCAAACACCCCGACCAAGGTACACAACACACAGGCACTTTCTTCTCTTTCAATAAGCCCAGGAGTTTGAGACTGGCTAAACTTAGAGCAGAGCAAAAATACAGCTTAACGTCCATAAAGAGATCTAATAATATTCAGCATCTTTCCTCTAAATGCATCATTAATTGCAGTCATTCAGATTCTGATTTATTCTAGTTCTCTGACTCAGTTCTGAATCTGGTTTTTGAACCACCATCCTGCCTTATAAGCCACATTATGTGGGTCATTAAGTATATTCAGTCCACACTAAATAACATTTCCCCCCTGATCTTTTAAAAATTATTAGTATTCTTTGTTTACCTTGAGATATCCTATGCTTTGCTGTTGGCTTGCTCCTATTCATTAATGTTGGCCTCTTGACTGAATGAAAATGATCATATTAGAAATAGAACAAAAAAGTTGGGCCCAGAATAAAATGTTGATCAGTCTTTATTCAGGCTTTTGCAGAGCACACTATTCTGTGCCCCAATTGCTGTTAGCTGCTCATGAGCACTAATTATACTTAGCCACCATTGGAGTATGCTTTTGTAGGCGTAGGTGTATATCTGTGTGTATTTTAATTTCTGCAAAAATAAGAATCCTGAAGCCTGCTAAGATCTCTCTGTGTTGGGTAAGTGGTGTCAGTTTGGTTTCATTGACAACCTCAACATCAGAAATGCAGAGAATAATTATTAGAACTCATGCTGCCTCTCACTTCACTTATCAAACCAGCTTTGAGTAACTGCTGCCAAGACTGGAAAGCTTTATACGGAATCCTCAACCAGTTTGATTCATGACTACATTTTGCAACTGGTAATCTGTCATAGACGCTCTGGAGGCCTGTCTAATCAGCTTCTATGGATAGAAGTGCTCTTCTCCTCATGCCTTTTCTCTCTAATACAGACAGGCAGGAGAAGAAGAGTAAAAACTGAAAGGGGAAAAAGCTGTTTTTCAGCAGAATAGATTTCTCCTTCTGCTGTGTTTGATATTTTTTTATCTGAGTGGTCTTGGACTATAAATAAACTTCCAACTTTAATTTCCCCTTCTCCCACATGCAAATGAATAGAGGATGTCAATCAATTTGCTGGTATAGGGAAGAGCTGATGCACTGAGCATTGCAGATTGGCTTTTCAAGAACTCAGTGCTCCTGGATGCCAGACTATTTTCCCTCAAGCCATCACTAAAAGGATATGAAGTCCATACTCTTTACTGTTATTTTGACTTATAATAGTTGGATGACTCTAGATTGATCCAATAAAGCCCTTGTGGGGAAATGACCAGGAACAGCAACAACAGCAACAAAAATTGCCAGCAGTGCTTCTTTATTTGCTAGAGAGCTTTGGTTGTAAAGGAAGATAGAATGGTCTTGTTTCTACACGGCAGTTTCTAAAATGGATCTTATCACCTATTTGATCAGATACAAGTCCTCAAATTTCTTGGTACACTCATTGAAAAGGAAGACTTGCTATATGACATCCTGAATTGTCAGGTAAGAAGTTTGTGTTGGGATGGGAGGAAGCAGTAGGACATAGCGGGAATTGCCGGGCTCACCAGAGAGGTTTGGCGGTTGGGTTTCATGTCTTCATAATCTTTTATTTATTTAGAATATGGCATTGTTACATTAGCCAGGAAACTACAATATTAATGCAGAGTAGTAGTTTGGTTGCCTGTTTATTAGCTCTATTAGGTACACCCTTGTGTGCTTCCCAAGGTGCACCAAAGCAGGGCAAGCTAGCTTTGCACCAGAGAGAAAGAGAGGTGGCTCTTCCTGCAGCAGCATCCAGGACCCCTGTCCTCTACCAGAGCCACCTCGTAAATAGGCATTGCTACGGGGAAGGTTCAGAGCCAGCAGGAATCTGACTGCCTGCATGAAGCATCAGCTTATCTCCCACTGAAGTGGCACCTATATATGTACCCACATAGAACATGCTTTCAAACTGCAAGGTGGGCAGAAGCTGAAGCAAGTAATGGGAATTTACCTTGCCATGCAGTGCTAGGACTCTAACTCCTGGAGCAGAGACCATCCCCAGCATCATTGAGCCACTGAGCCACAGCATCTCTAGCTGCTTCTTAGGATCTGAGTACATAGCAGCAACTTATGGAAGCTTGACTTCCTAAGTTCTAGAAATCTATGAAATAGAGTTTAAAGCCCTGTTTTATGGCTGAAATCAGTCAGAAAGCCTTCTAATCTGTGGCAAATCAAAATAGTTGCCAAATAAAAGTCAGATCAAAAGCAGAAGAAATAAGAATGTCCATTTGTCACACTATATAGTTAAGCACTGATAATCTGTTTTCCTAGTCTCTTGAGCCTGGTCAGTGGTATCCTTGTGGGTGTGGTAATTCCTAGGAATACTTCTAGAATCAAGCTTGCATAACTCATAGTTTCCACTTTTCCCTATTTTGGGGTGTGTGATGGATTGGGCATCAGGTTCAAGGCTTGTATCAGTTGCTTTAGCCCAGTTTTATTGCATTTGGTCAGTCATAAACACCATTGGTTAAAATCACAAGCAACTGACTCAGAGACTGCAGTTAATAAGATTTTAATGAGATTTTAGGGAGCAGATTCAAACACCAATATAAAGCTATGTTTTTAGAGACCTAGATATTGCTTATGGAGAACTTCCAGATCCTGCAGAATCTATCTCAGCTGTTCCTAAAATTGGAATCTGACTGTCGACATTCTCTGGGTTCTAATGCAGGATGATATGGCATTGTCGAGCACTTAGCTGTCATATTCTTGGCACTGGGCTTGATCCAGCCTTGTCCCTGTTATTCATCATGAATATGCAAGCTCCTTCTAGCCCCGATCCTCAACTTTCTCTGAGATAATGTAGATGAATACAGAGATAACCTTGACAAAGCAGCAAAGAGTTGTTAGGAGAGACATTAAGAGAAAGTAACTGACAACTCAGTTCTAGGAAAGGAAAAAGCGTGAGGGGGAAATTCAAAACAATGCTATGTTGATTATGTTTGGTATAAGATGGGCAGAAGAAAGCTCTGGCAGGCTTTTGAGTTAATGTTATTAAACCCTACAATAGTACAGTTGTATTCTTGAAATCCTTGTCATGTAGTATCCTGATCTGGCCTACATCAAAGGATGGAGTGGTATGCATGATGACACTTAACAGTGGAGAAGCTGCCCATCCACTTCTCTTGGATAACAGGCTGATCTAGTGTGCAGAGAACTTGGTCACAGTCTTCTTCCATTTAATGACATTCAGGGCACTTTTAATTAAATTATGGTGTTGAAGTTATATATAGTCACAATTTATACACGCTGGTATCTTATTTTCCCTCCCCTTTTTTTGTGATAACATGTGGTGTCTAGTTTGAGAATGGGGGAGCCAGGGTTAGTATTACCTTTCATCCCTTGAGCTGATGAGGAGAGAGGAAAGAATGAGGAGGAAGGCTCTGAACTGAAGTATTGTGAATGAAGTGTTTTTCATCTCTTCTTCCAAGGTGCCTGCTGACTTCCTGAACCTCTTCCAGACATCTCAACCTGGGAATCTGCTTTATGAGATGTTAGTATTTGTGGAACGACTTAGTGAAGGGCGCCAGTCTCCGCAGTACCAGTCAATGCACTGGGACTATAACAAAAACTCCCTCCATGAAATCATCTTTGGTGACAATTCCCGCCTTTCTGAGCGCTTGCTGGCTCTTATTGTCCATCCTGAAGAAGATGTGCAGACTCAGGCTTGCAAAGTGATCCTCAGCCTGAAGATTAACAAGGAAGAAAGCAGGATCAGTAGTGGACATATTCTCGGGTCTGAGCTTAATGTTTACCCTCTTGAATCCACCAGAGAAAGCCAGATTGCCGATGCCTCCCTTATTAGCCAGCCTTTAATCTCAACTACTGAGCCTTCATCTGATGCTCCTCACAGTGAAAGTGGTGTCAGCTTTCACCCTCTCTCGGGCACCAATGAGACTAGTCGTGGCAGCTTTCACCCTCCCCTGGGCACCAATGAAACTAGTCGTGGAAGCTTTCACCCTCCCCCGGGCACCAATGAGACTAGTGTTGCCAGCTTTCACTCTCTCTCGGACACCAATGAGATTAGTCGTAGCAGCTTTCACCCTCTCCTGAGCACCAATGAGACTAGTCGTGGAAGCTTTCACCCTTCCCCGGGCACCAATGAGACTAGTGTTGCCAGCTTTCACTCTCTCCCGGACACAAATGAGATTAGTCATGGCAGCTTTCACCCTCTCCTGGACACCAATGAGACTAGTCGTGGCAGCTTTCATCCTTCCCCAGGCACCAATGAGACTAGTGTTGCCAGCTTTCACTCTCTCCCAGACACCAATGAGATTAGTAGAGGCAGCTTTCACCCTCCCCCAGGCACCAATGAGACTAGTGTTGGCAGCTTTCACCCTCTCCCGGGCACCAATGAGACTGGCCAAAGCTTTCATCCCCTTGAGAGAGCTGATCATAGTTTCCACCCACTTCCGAATGCCACTGTGGAGAGCAGTGGTGAGCATGTCCTGGAGGAACCCATGGATACTTTTCACTCTCCCCCAGTTGCTGGGTCAGAAGAAAGTGACAACAGCATTTGAAGGGGGCAGTTGTACAGAGGAAAAAAGAGACTAATAAAATGGGTTGGCAAACAGAGGAGAATGCCTTTCTGTTTCTCTGCAAAAAGAAGAAAAATACAAAAGAGGCTGATATTCCTGTCTCTCCCAAATCAGCCCTTGTCTGAACAGTTTAAAAAATCAGTCCCTTTTCTGTCACTGAGATGGTGAGTACTGACAGATGCAAGCAACTTAAACCACTCATAAATAGTCTCAAACAGAAACTTTATTTTTAGTCACCTACATATGTTACAAGAAACTCACTAGACTGACTGCATTTCCTTGAGAACAGACAAATGAGGCATTAGGGATTCTGGGGCAGGTCAGGCCTATGCTGCTTTCTGCAATGCAAAGACTCTGAATTTATACCCTTCTTAACATTTCCCTCCATTCTAGCTGGAGATTCCACCACAAATAATAACCACATCCTTTCTATCATGTATTGGAGCATTGTAAACAGCCCTTCAGTGATTTCCCTCCAAAACTACATTCATATATTACACCTTGCTAAAATTTGGTTGGCTTAGCATATGGTAGCAAAGTTAATTGAGCAAATGCCCTCCCCTTTCAAACTGTTTAAAATTGCTTAAGAGTTGGAAACAGGAAAAAACCCCAACTGAAGAAGAACTAATAGATAAAATCTTAGAATGCGCTAAAATGGACAGATTAACAAAAGAAATTAAAGAAAAAGAAGAGACAGACTACTACAGAATATGGAACAAATGGTATAACTGGCTTAACACCATCAATAAAGAAAAATAAATGCAAGATGTATATAAATAATTTTTTATAGGTATATAATATGAATGGAGAAACGTAAAACAGTAAAGATATAATCAAAATATATAGATCTTTATAGGGGGAAAGACGAGGGGAAAAAAAGAAGAGAAGAAAAGGAAGGGGGAAAAAAGTATTAGACTAAGAAAAAGGGGAAGAAATATAAAGTATCAGATGGAAAACCACTATGAAACAATGCTTAAAAAGGATAAGCTATTTATGTATTTATATGTTGTATGTTGTGTAAATGTCTAATTTGTGTTTTAATAAAATTTATAAATTTTTAATTTAAAAAAATTGCTTAAAAGTTAAACTATTGGCATCCTTTTGGAATACACACACACACAATGTTATCCAACTCACACAAACCTTTCTTTCAAAAAAAAATATGACTACATTTCCCACGTCTTCTCTCATATGTATTTTCACAGCCTAATCTAGTAATTCAGTTGCTGCCGAACCTGTTTACAAAGCCGTAAATTTTCACCAGGGATGCAAGGAGTCAGGCAGTACTTGTGTCTGAATCAGTCCAAGAGATAAAACTCCACAAGTCACATTCCCAAAGATAATTGGTTCCAGCTGTAAATGTTCTCAGGAATTCAGACAAAACAAACAACACATTGCTTCAGTGAATGACCTTCCATCTGAGTGGACTTTGACAACCAGGGTTCCTTTATTCTCTAGCCAGGGACGGTTGAAGCTGATTTTCCCTGATATATGCTTTCAGCCTTCCAAAGCTTCAGCCTTCCTTGGATGCCCTTCCCTACAAGCAGCCACTTCTTCACCTTTTTTCCCCCCACTACTCCCATGGATGTCTAGAGGAGAGATAATGATGAAGCTGGCATATGATATAATCATGCACATGCTGTGACTTACATACTTGTATCATATGATGTGTACAGTATGATAATGCCATTCTGCCTGTGTCATCATTTGGGATTATTATGATGCGCTGTGGATGTCATCAACTGCTACCAACATTCCCGAAACTAGGAGGACTTGCTTCTACTCCAGCTCAAAATTCTCCAGAACAGACTAAGGTGTAGTAGGGCTTCTACCTGTTCTTTCTCTACTGTTTGGTTTCTGAGTTAAGGGATTTGTAGGCTTGCTTGTCTTCTGATCTGGAGCTGATCTTTGTGTCCTTCTGAATAACTTGCTTCTGTTTCACAAATCCTCAGACGACTCACCCAATAGAAGAGCTGTGTACCTTTAGGTTGTAGAGAGCTTCCTATTCAATCATGATTCAGGGGAAAGCATGTCTATTTTAAGATGCTACACGCAGGTGATACATTCATGCATCATATTGCATGCTTCAATTCATTTTTTGGAAGTCAATTCCACAATTGCTGCACAGCCACCTTCCTCTCTTGGCATTCTTTCTCTTCCCTCTGACTGGGCTGCCTCTTAAGTTCCTTGCTTGACTTTTGCTCAGTGCATAGTATAAATTCAGACACTGTGGTTTGAAAAATATGATTTAGATCTCTGCTTTATGTGTTAACCAAGTCATTGTAGCCTATTTGACAACTACGATTTAGCGTGGTATTTCAACCGAGCTACTGTTTATCTATATAATATAACTCTTTTTAATTAAGTTACTTCTAAGCACCACTTACTGTTCTCTTTAATGGTTAATTGGGATAATGTAAAAGCCAAAATTAAGCAGTCCAAAATGACTCCTAGGGTGTTTCATTCTGGCTTTTACGTCATCACAATTAAACATTACCCAGAGCTGCAGGTAATTTAAAATGAAATTGTTGCTAGAAATAGTACAATGTGTTAGAGACATGTGTAACAAATCATGAAAAATGACAAAGCAGTAGATTGCATATTTTTATTAACTCTCATCCAGAAGTCATTTCCAAAAGACAGAACTTCTCAGAATGGCAGCTTTCAAATGATTCAGACTAGGACATATTGCAGTAGGTAGAGAGGGAGAGAGGCAGGTAGGCAGGCAGGCAGATAGGCGCATAGAGTTATCAAAAATCAGGCCCCGTCAGTATTGTATTATATACATTTTATTAACTGTCCAAATGGGTTGCCAATTTCTTCTAAACACTTCCTTACTTTTTTGATGCACAACCTTTGAATATTCCTAAATCTAGTAACATTTTTCCTGGGGGGAAAAAAACCCTGGCTGGAAGACAAATTAGAGCAGTAGCAAAGCAGAGAGAAGCATGATCAAACAGCTAAAACAATGAAATGTAAAGGCATGAAACATTATAAAGAGTAAAATGATAGGCTTGGTCAAAGGGACAATTTGCGGTAAACAGTTGCTGGTCCATATTATTATTTTCATTTTTCGTTATGTATTTTTAAAAGAATATAGGAAAGAGATAATACCAATATAAACAGTAAAATACCAGTAGGACGGACAGCAAATACTGGTTTGTGATAATCATTTAATTTAGTCCTGCATGTTTGACATGGCAGTGTCTTGGAGAACCTGTCTGGTCTTGGAAGCTAAACACAGTTGCTACTCTTGTAGATCATATTAAGACTGCCAATTAGACTGGGTAGTTGGAAAAAAATAGCCCAAAGAAGGCAATAGGAACCCTATTCATATTGCTACAAAGAAACTTATATAGAGCTGTCAATGAAATGACCAAGAGGCCGGTTTGGTTGGAAGAGATTTTACTGATACTTTTGAACTTTGCTTTACTGATACTTTTGAACTTTGTCAGTTATGATGTTTCTTGTGTGATCTGTAATTTCATGCGAGTTTCTTCCTAGGAGTAACAGGTTTTTACATACATTTTGAAGATGTGCCAGAATCTTCACACCTATTGATGCAAATACTTTGTCAGGATGTTGTTTCAGCTTCCCAGTCTAGGCTACAGCCATGGCATTTTGACCTAATGATTTGTCCTCCAATCACTGGTTGCTCCATCCTGTATTTGGTTCCAAGTCTAAGTAAGGTGAGCCGGATATTACTACTTGCTGATATCATACCAAAAATATATGGCAAGGCCTTATTTTCAGTAGAGTGGATCAGAAAAATGTTTGAATCTAACTGAAATCTATATGAACAAAGGGCATGCTTATTGGAGCAGTACGTAAAAGCATAGGAATTTGTTTTGCAAGGAAAGTAATAAAAACTATGTGGCTACTTAAAGAATCCAGGGTAAATCTAGTCACCATGCTTCTTTCTTTCTTCTTTTTCATTGCTGATTTTATTTGATGGGTCCTTGCAAATGCCAAAGTCAGAATTGACAATACTTCCCACAATGGTCCGGTCAGCATCACAGATTAAGCCTCTCTCACAAGGGCACTTGTAGTAAACTCCATATAGACTCTGCAGGAAACAGAAAGATACAGATTATTATTCCCTGGCTTATAGGACCTATTCAGGCAATGAATATAAGTTTTTCCATCATTCATAACAATTGCTCCCTAGTCTTGGATACATTTCCTAAGATGCAGAAAACAGAGATATTAGTCTGGGATATAGACCAACATTAAGCTATGAATCCCCTGACATATGTTCATCCATACAAATGTTTCTCACTTTTAAACTATTCATTTTCCTACAATAATGGCGCCAATGGCTTAATTTATTATTTTATTTCATAGTGTTTGTTTTGCGCAAGTCATATCACGGTTACTTTAAAATTGTCTTCTGTGCTATTAGCTGAACACTTAATTGCCGTCATGCTGAACAGAATATGTCTCTCTTATTCTCTCATGATGGGCATATACTTTTTTTTTTTAAAAAAATGACACTCACCTTTAGGGAACATTCTTGGTTTTCAGCTGCCTTGTCTGCACAGCGAGCGAGACCTAATCCTTTGGTTCGGTGACAGCAGCAGCTTTTGCACTGTAAGCTATTAAGACACAGCTCCCCATTGTGCTAGTGGAAAACAAATGTGAAACCAGGAGGTAAATGTGTGAAAGAAGATGGTTAATTCAGCAATTTGTCCATTCTTTTCATTTTTCTACACCTGCCCTTTTGTGAAAGGTCTTTCTCCATAAAAATATGTTAGAGCACTGAGTAATAACCAGGCCTACATCAGCTGTATAATCCTTTCACAGGAATTTTGATGGAATGTCATGTGTTGACATTGATTTATGATTATGTTCTGATTTACATAGTACTTTAGATTGATTACATGTGTGATTAGGTGCAGCATATTATTCAATTATCGATTGAATAATAATGCTGCAGGTTTTTTAAATAAAAGAATAGGACCAGAACAAATTATTCCTAGCCTTATACATGTCCAAACCTAAAAGAAGATATTTCTGGAAGGATTCAAATAAGAATATCTCACATTCACTTACTAAGTTAATAAATAGTCCTCTTGGATAAATAGAAGACTCTGCCAAGGCAAGTGTCAGCAGTAACAAAATCCAAAGTCTGTCCATTGTTTCCGGGCAGCCAATGAGTTAATTGAAGGCTCTGGGGATGAGAGTCCAGACCAACCGGGAAGTTGCAGTTAATAAAACCCTTTGTCAAAGTCACATGAATCCTTCCTTCCAATGAATGTATCTCATGGAAACATGTGATAGTGATAGCAAACTTGATTTGGAAAGAAACACAAGACTAAATAGAATAGAATAGAATTTTTATTGGCCAAGTGTGATTGAACACACAAGGAATTTGCCTTGGTGCATATGCTCTCAGTGTACATAAAATAAAAGATACGTCCATCAAGAATCATAAGGTACAACACCCAATGATAGCCATAGGGTACTGTAAGATTTAAAAAAAACAGCAAACCTCATAAAAAGTGAAACAGTGACCATGAACAAGGAAAAAGCAGATTTATTGTAAGGATATATGTATCCCATAAACTTTTGCAAAAGGGTTCTCCCATGAAAGAGACTGAACGTCATATCACTCCGGTTTCATGGTTTAAATATAGTTTCAGACAATCAGCAAAACAATTAGAACTCTTCCACCAGATATTGTTTTCAGTTGTTATATAATGTTTTGGCTTTCTTCACATGTTCTGCCCTGGAGTTCCCTTCCAAAATTGCCCTCTAAAAATACCCTCTAAATATGTATTCATAATTGTTTGTTATTGTTCTTATTAATTGGACACTTAGTCTCTTTCTCCTTTTTCAATGGAGCTTTGGTACAACTTCGAATGTACCAAAATATCTGTTTCCTCAAAACAGGCATCATACACATGTCCCTTTTTTACATATCTTACTCAGCTTAATAGCTGAGGGTTAGCTCAGGTTATGTAAAGGGTAAATATGGAGTCACTTAGGCTATATTCTTTACAGGAATAATTCTTTTTCTCTCAGATACAAATAAGTAATCAGGAAACAATATCAATATAAATCATAAGGATATCAGCAACAAGGTTACAGTCATACAGTCATAAATGGGAGGAGATGGGAAAATTAATAGTAGTGCAGACTTAGTAAATAGTTTGACAGTGTTGAGGGAATTATTTGTTTAGCAAAGTGATAGCATTCGGGAAAAAACTGTTCTTGTGTCTAGTTGTTCTTGTGTGCAGTGCTCTATAGCGTCATTTTGAGGGTAGGAGTTGAAACAGTTTATGTCAAAGATGTGAGGAGTCTGTAAAAATTTTCACGGCCTTCTTTTTGACTCGTGCAGTATGCAGGTCCTCAATGGAAGGCAGGTTGGTAACAATTGTTTTTTCTGCAGTTCTAATTATCCTCTGAAGTCTGTGTCTGTCTTGTTGGGTTGCAGAACCAAACCATACAGTTATAGAGGTGCAGATGACAGACTCAATAATTCCTCTGTAGAACTGGATCAACAGGTCCTTGGGCAGTTTGAACTTTCTGAGTTGGCGCAGAGAGAATATTCTTTGTTGTGCTCTTTTGAAAAATAGTAAAATAAATATAAATAGTAAAATAAATTCAATAGTAAAAAAGCAAGCAAAATATAAGAGCTGCAGTCTACAAACCTTGGGATACTAAGTTAAGAATAGGTCTTTTTTGATTTTGAAACCAGCAGAGATCAGGACCCTCAATATCAGCAAGGCAATCATCACACCGATAGGTTCATACATTCTGGAAGCCCTTTTTGTGATCTGTTTGGATTTGGGTCAGAATATTCTAAGAGGTCAGACAGTTGTTGGAAACCAGGATTCAAAGTTTAGTGTTACATGTTAATCTAACAACTTGATATGTTCAACAAATCATGATGTATGATGTGCAATTCGTGCCTTTCCTGAATTTTTCATCTCCGCCCAGCTTGTCACTTTCTGTGAAACTCAAAAAAAAAACAAACTTTGCTCAATCTTTTTTTAGGATCTGTCTGAATGTGTTTGTGAACCCAGGCACTGGAATGGAAAATCATGGTTTCTGGCTTTGTGTAATGTTGTCTGGCTTTTGCCTTGTTGATTTAGTGTGATGTATGGTCTAGGTCAGTTCATTAATAATGTTTTGATCCTTTCATCAATAGCTTTGATGAACTGATATACTTTATTTTGATGAAGCAAAATTAATAAGAGCAAATATAAACCTCTTTCCTTAGCTTTCTAGTTGGCTTATTTAAAAAAGGAACAGAGAATCCTAAAATCCCCTCCCCACATCCTTTATGTTAGAATACTTTCATATAGCATAACTTTCCCCAGTCTAGAGCCATCTAGACCAATTGAACACCTGTATAGATTGGCAGCATAACTATGCTGGCTGAGAGCGATAAGAATTTTTCCAGTCTAAAATTAGGGACTGTATCAAACAAAGCTGATACAGAAGAGTTTAGCAGAGTTTAGTGGAAAAATCCTGCTATAACAACATGTGTGAAAGACATCTTATTTCTCAAAGGTGTATGGAACAAGAAGCTACCTGGAACCAACAACAGATGTGGCCTATTGGAACTTTCTCAGGATCCAAATGTTTGTTATGCAATCCTGGACTAATCAGCCAGTAAAATACATGTTGATAATACCTAGCAGAATTCTCAATCTAGATATGTAACATTGCCTACTCTAACCTGATCCTGACTGAGAACTATGGGAGTTACGTATGTCAGGAAATAAGTAGTATTTACAGAGAAAAACCAAACACTCTGGTAAGGTCTATGCTGGTTTTAGTTTAACAATGTGTATGACATTTCTTTGCAAGGATTTGGGAACATATGGACAGACTTGTATGATTCCTGACTTGTATGAATACCGGTATGATTTACCGGTATTCATTAACCAGTAAATATTTTTCATGTAATTAATTAGGAATTATGAATATATAAACCAGATTATATCATAAATAGGCACACATTTCTTTTCAAAAAGATTCATTACACTGCAATAGCTTAAAGTATTTTATACTGACAACAGATAAGAATTATTTTTCACCATTTGAGATCATGAGGAAGTCATGCCAACTCATCAGCTTAGCCAGAATTTATGGCAAAAGGTTTTTCCAAGAGTGTCTGAATATTCCTCATGCTTTTATCTACATGTAATGCTTTTGTCACATTTTCCATTTTTAGCCAATTGTTCCAATACATTTGGTGAATATCCACCATGAGGTGGTTGTCCTTTTATGTCTTCAATCAGCCAAGCAAGTTCTGTACATTCCCTTTCAATGGGCTTCCAGTAATGATGGAGAGGAACATTTAACTTCTCAGAAATGACCAGAGGTCCTGCAGCAACAAGAGGCCATCTTAGAAAATACCATCTTAGAAAATCTAATATATACTAATATATGTATGTATGAATCAGCATTATAATTATTTTTTATTTTGTGGGGTTTTTTAGCTTTTAAAATGATTGTATGTATTCCTCCCTTCTTATGCTGATCTATGACCATAATAATATTTAATTGATTTGTCAGCTTCCTGGTATTTTGGGAGCATAATTCATCACATTGGTAGGGGATCTGATTAAGATAGAATAATACAGAGTTAATATATTATAGAAATGTTAACTTTGTGAATGTTTATACATTACACTAACCATGATTTTCATGCCTATTATTTGTTGAATACAACACCATTTGCAAGGTTGCATAATATTCTAAGTCATAAAATTTATTGGACTGACTGTACTGTTTGGAAATGTTTATAGTCAAAACTACACAAATCATATAATAGCTTAGTGAGATTTATGAATCCAGCCTTAAAGCCAATATCTGGAACAACCAGCTCATCCTTGATGTTGTACAAATTGGCACCTTGCTCTCTTTTGCAGGATGAGCATAACGTGCTTTTATGTTAACAAGATTTATACATCCTGTCCAGGAACATACTATTTTCCAAGGTATAATTGTTAATACTTAATTCGAAATGGGGATGGTGGATTAATCTCTATTTATCCTAGTCAAGGGAATTGGTGCCTGTCCTCTGATGTCTGCCCCCAATTAATGGGAAACAGTGTCTACCCTTCGGTTCATCAGTCTTGGGCTTCCTGGCTTTCTCTGCCAATCGCTGTCTGTGGTGCTGAAACAGAGCTCACAAATAAAGCTGCAGAAATTCCTCTTCTCTGCTGTATGGAAGCAGGAGGGATATTTCCTTTACACAGGGAGGGAACGCCAATTTCTTGGAAAGCAGCAGATATGTAGGATGCTGGGAGAGGAGGAAAAGGAGGAGGAGGAGCAGCAGCAGCAGCAGCAACTAAGGCTAAGCACTCTTCAGGCTCCAGCACCTCCCACCGAGCTGTTCAGTATGGAAACAAATAGCCCTTCTTGCAAATGGTCATCTGAGCATCTGTGGCTGGGGCAAAGAGTCACGGGAAAGGCAAGAGCTGCTTCACAGAATCCTGATCTATCAGTGAGGCGGAAAGCCAACCGTGCATCCCCTCTTTCTTGGATTCAGCTTCCCTATGTGCTGCTCCTCATTAAAGTTCCTGGAGTGAGAAGACAATCCTTTTTCTGTTTGACCCTGAACTTCAAGACATGTCTTACAAGACATAGCCATCTCTCCGTGGAGCCATGGCAAAGATGCTGCCAGCACAGGAAGCGGCAAAGATCTATCATACCAACTACGTGAGGAATGCTCGAGCCATGGGAGTGCTGTGGGCACTGTTCACCCTCTGCTTTGCTGTGATCATGGTGGTAACTTTCATCCAGCCCTATTGGATTGGGGACAGCATTGACACTCCACAAGCTGGTTATTTTGGCCTCTACTCCTATTGTATTGGAAATGCCCTGACCGGTGAACTCATTTGCAAGGGCAGCCCGCTGGACTTTGGCACCATCCCCTCAAGTGCTTTCAAAACAGCTATGTTTTTTGTTGGCATTTCTACCTTTCTTATAATTGGCTGCATCCTCTGCTTTAGCCTCTTCTTCTTCTGCAATGCAGCCACTGTCTACAAAGTGTGTGCTTGGATGCAACTGGCAGCATGTGAGTTGGACATAGAGAACCCAGGGGATAGATTAAGACATCCATTAAACATAGCTTCAATGTGCTAAGGGATTCCTGCTCAAGTATATTATGCTTGGGAATATCATAACCTCTTTGTCTTATCTCCCAAATTTGCAGTGCAAGGGGCATCTATTTAAAATGAATATATAAATCTTCCATTTGGATTGAAGTTCCATTGGCATCACTCCTAATAAGGAGAAAGCAAAATGGATTTGTGGTACTGCAAAGTAAATATTAGTTCCTTGATGATGCAAATCTTTTCAATGTGTGAATATAAATCTGCTATTTGGATTCAAGTTCCATTGGCAGCCTTTTCCTGAATGTGCTAACTGTCACTGAAACCAACATATTCCATTTCTTTAGTTCCCATGTCAGCCAGTAATGTGTATATTTTAGTGAGATGACCTGTCCTTGAAGTATATTGTAGTCTGTTAAGTGATATGCAATGACACTTAATTCTATAATCTATTTGAAGGACAAACAATTGATGTACTTTTTCTGATCGCTTGGTTTTTTTATAAAATGAAGTTATGTTTAATGGTGTTTTTTTTCTTAATTTGCTTTCTTTGTGGCTGCCATAATCACTGTCTCTGGTGAAGGTGTAGATGTAATCATGAAGTGACGATATAGAAGGGGTATTAATTTAAAACATCACTAAAACAAAGCAGGAATGAGCAAGGAGAACACAGGAGGAATCTTGCTGAATATGATCAAGGCTCCATCTTCAGGGCTTTTGACAGGCAGATTTAGCAGTTAGCATTGCCTAGAGAGGAGATGTGTGTTTTTAGAAAACTGCTTCTTTCTGATGAAAAGGAGATGTTTTATACAGGATATTAGCAGCTAGAAATTTCCGCAGCCAAAGGGAAAATGAGCTTCTGTTTGTATTTCCTTTTATGTATGAGAGAAGTCAGAAAACCATCAACATAGTTGCAGCCTGAAGAAGAAAAACAGGGTCAAATCATGATTCATAAGAGAAAACGGGCAATACAATAGTCATTACCAACTGAAACCTTTCAGATATGTTAAGCTATACTTCCTATAATTCTGTGCCAGTGTGGCCATGGGAAGGTTATGATGAAAGTAAGGTATATTACTGCAATATTTAATAGCAAAAGGGTACAAGTTTTACTAATTCAAAATAAATAGTGGGTTGGAGTCAATCATAGCCATAATTATAATAGGTTGACCAAAAATATTTGGACTTAAGATCCAGTTTTAATCGGGATACTTTATATATAAAATTATGTATAGTATTCCCATATTTGTCAGCAATGTTATAGAGAAAAAAATAATATTTAAGGACACCTGAGCCTAGCAAGCATTGCAAGTCAGAACACACACACAGCATGCATACAAGATCATAGAGGCAAAATTAAATAATGCTGTTTGGGAAATAGTACCCCGTTTCCCCCAAAATAAGACATCCCCTGATAATAAGCCCAATTGGGCTTTTGAGCGCATGGCAATAAGCCCAAGCACTTATTTCAGGGTTCCAAAAAATAGAAGACAGAGTCTTATTTTCAGGGAAACACAGTATGTAGACAGAAACTCAAAATGAAATACATCCTGCCTTCTATTTGTTCATTTATAAGTTTTTGCTATTAGTGGCAAAGTTCTTTTTTTAAAAAAAATTATTTGCTTCTTCCACCTCATTCCAAGAGAAATAAATGAGTTGCTTTATTTAATGGTATGCAAAACACAAGCATTCTTTGCTTGATGAAATGCACTTTGGCTTTCCATCTTCTAAAAATTACCACAAATTCAAATTAGGGCCAGGATTAGGTAATGACTTTCTATTCCGCCTAGAATATCCTGCTTAAATATCCTTAAGCTAATTAAGCCCTGCCTGTAATGGGGATGCCAAAGATGAGCACAATTCTCTGCAGTTTTTCCATAGTGAGAGAGACCTGCAAAAGGCCATCTGATCTGAAAGCAAGAAGATGCTGAAAGCCAGTAACGATATTTGAAACCTTTTTCAAATATTCATGCCGGTGAACAAAACCTGGTTACATGATCTGCAGAGGCTTCTTCAGCAAATAGAAATGCATTGCGTGAAAGAGAGGCTAAAGTAAGTCTGTAAGCGCAGCAACAGGTTTAGCAGTAGCATTTTGAATAAACTGTAAGGACAGGCACAGGCATTAAAGAAAGCTGTAATTCTTCCTGGCCTCAAACATAAATAACTTAAGAGGCTTGAAAAGGCTTCTGATTAACCCACATTGGCTGAAGAGCACAATGCTGGAGGATTGTAAAGATCCTAAGTGACAGGGGAGTATAAAAGCTTTTCTTAAAAAAATAAATCAGTAAATTGCTATGGCAACTTTGTGACATGTTTCTATCCAAGTAACACACTCTCATTCGACTGAAAATTTACCTTCCTCACAATAATAACAATAATAATAATGTGTTATACTGACTGTAGAATCTGGTACCTTGGAAATCTCAACATACTTCCATAAAAATTCCAGCCTGTTTAAATTTACATCTTAAAGTACTGTACAGGCGGTCCTCATTAATGACCATAACTGAACCAGGCAATTCTATCACTAAACAATGTATTTGTTACGCAAACCATCATGTGACTGCAACTTGCAATTTTAATTGTCCACTTCTGCATTGACTCTGCGTGTCAGAAGCTGGCTGTAAAGTGTGCAAATGGCAATCACGTAACCCAGGGTGCTGCTCCAGTTGTAAGTGGGAGGACCCATCCTAAAGTTACTTTTTTTTCTGCACAGTTGTAACTTCAAATGGTTGCTAAACAGGGCAGTTCTTAAGTGAGGACTGTCTTGTCATAGATTAAAACTCAGGATGCAAAGAAAGGGAATGAGTAGATATTTTAAAATCTTTTCTTCTTAATGTAGGGCAGACTCTTCTTTCAATGCCATAGCAAATAACTAGCCTTTTAGTAAAGGAAAGGCTCGACTAATGCTTCTCTGGACAACAAAAGTAAAAATAGTTTCACAGCTCTTGAACTCTTGCAGGAATATCACGTAATCATAAACTAAGTGGTAAGAAAAGCTATTTTTTCAATGTCCTGTGCTTGTCCACTTTTTTCCAAGGACAGAAATGTTGTGCTCCTCTTTCTACTTTTCCTGTTAAACTCTAATACCATGAAGTGTTTTGTACAGGTTACAGTACTATACTCATCTAAGAACAGCTGTCATTTTTGGAAGACAATTTTCTTTTTTGCTTCTTAACTGCCACATATTTTAGCTGGGGAAGTTGAGAGGGGGTTGTTGTTGGAGTGGTAGAAAGTTAGTCATAACAACATTCTGTATTCAAGGACTTTTGCTTGTGTCTCATGGAGACTGCCTGAAGATTGTATCCAGTTGAGTGTGAAGAATTGATTGGACAATGTGATGAACTTGTAGGTTTGGGGCAGGGCTGTGAACTGTCAGCTGGGTGTGGAAAACCTGGAAGCTTTCTGATTCGGGTTTTCCCAGATGTGCCAACATGACTAATAAATTTCTAATAAATTGGAATTTTGAGGAACCTCAGGCCTCAGAGCTTTATTTTGTTGAGGGTATTCCTTGGAACGCTGACAACAGTTTGTAAAGTATTAATTATAAATATTTTATTTCCAAAAAGCAGTCACATATCGTGATCATCTATGTCATGGATACGGGGCTGACCTGTGGTTATTCAATCGGGGAAGAAAAGGCCTGATGCTAACAATAGTTTCTAGGACTGCAACTTTTCTTTAGTTCCCAAATTAAGCCTGTATTTGCATTAATTCAAGCTTTGACTAAACTTGGCTAAACTGTGGTTGTAGCAAAGACTGCAAGATGAACAACAATATCAAGCTTTCTAATCAGTTTCGAAAAATAGGGAGCTTCTCCAGAAGCCGTCTCCATTTCTCGAAAGTGGTAAAAGGTGGTGAATGGACTTTATATTGTACTGTCATGCCATTTGCACTTGAACTTCCTTTTGAATCTGTCCCGATTTATTTATTTATTGATTAGATTTATAGAGCTTGCCCAGCTTGCATAATCAGAAGCCTGAGCAGAACACTTCATATGAAAAAACCCATGAGAGGAGTTACTACCTTGAGGTTGCAACTGTGTCTTTCAATATCATCACTGAATGCGTTCCATTTCCAGGTGCAGGCTTGTCCATTGGCTGCCTGCTCTACCCTGATGGCTGGGACTCCCCCGAGGTGAAACGCATGTGTGGAGAGAAGACTGACAAATACACCCTGGGAGTCTGCACTGTGCGCTGGGCGTACATCCTTTGCATCATCGGCATTCTTGATGCCTTCATCCTATCTTTTTTAGCATTTGTGCTTGGCAACCGGCAAGACAACCTTCTACCCTCTGATTTCCAAGTGGAAAACAAAGGTAAGCCAATTCCCCACCACCATCCCAGAAGAATCTACCCTTCCCATAGTCAAAGTAGCAAGGACAGTGGAACTATAGGTGATGAGATTTGGAGATTTACTTCCATAAAATTGATAAGGACAAAAAGGGCATAAGCTTGTCTTGTGTGCAGGTTATTAATATTAGAACTCATGCCACATTAGAATTGTCAGAACCTTTCTTTCCCTTAGTTAATTTAAATTGTTCTCATGGTATGCTATTTTTCTTCCATGCTTCAACCAAAGGCAGTAAGGCTACAAGGTGTCTACTGTAAAAAAAAATGGCTATATGCAAAAATCCATAATGTTCCCCTGTATTACTGGCTGAGTTCAGTGATTGTATCATTGACTCTGCTGGTGCAGGGATTAATTAAAAAAAATAATAGAATATTCTAATTTATCACAAGTGAGGGATTAGGCAGGTGAGGAGCAGAGCAGGGTCATGAATGCATTATAAATCACTGGAGAAAAATATGCAACGTTTCTGCAAACTTTTGTTTGGAAGCCCTTAGCCTTCCAAACAAAGTTTAAAACAAAAACAAAACAAAACAAAAACCAAGTACGCTTCTGGTATTTGCAGCTACTGTATAAACTGTCTTCTAAATTATTTCTTTCCCTAGCTGTTAAAAATAATTAAAATAGCATATGCATGAGACTGTTACTTTGTGTCCCATCACCATTTTACATTTGAGACATCTGTAAAATGCAAAATCCACTGTTTTGATAAAAATGAAATTGGCCGTTAGTGCAATTCAGCAGGCTTGGGATTCTAGAATGAAAAAGTCTACAATTTGGACATTATTTCTGCATTTTATATAGAGGGTTATTAGGGTTTATGTTTTCCCAAATGTCAGGCCAATCTTTCCCATTTGGAGACGTTTCAAGCAACAAAATGGGTGATTACAACTTCTGCCTTTTCATCATTCTCCAAATGTACATTCAACTTGTCTGTTCAACCAACGTGTCTGATTGTTAACAACAAAAGATTGCAGTGTTTTTTCTCTCTCAATATCAGAAAACACGGGAAAAACTGGTTTCACAGTGCCCTCTGTTGAAGAAGGAAAAGGTTATTGGGGATGTTATTACCAAAAGTTCAAAACAATATAACAAACTAAAAATATAACTTTCAAAGAGCGGTCTTCAGGATGCTGTAAAAAACTTGCTAGAGCTCCCAAGCTGGGAGATGTTACTCACCCTTTCTTTGGTGACACATATAAACTGGTTCTGGTTATCACTGTCATTGCCATGCTAATTCAATTGAAGTAAGTTACTCCAAAGCAGAGCCCTTTTCTTCCCTGGGTTTATAATCATATTCAAGCATGGTCAACAAATTCAAGGCTCTTCATCAAACGCTAATGGCAGATTCTATCCTATGTGTAGCATGTGACATCACAGCTTCTATTTAGATCAGTGGTGGGCTGCTACTGGTTCACCCTGGATCAGGCGAACCGGTAGCGGCAGCAGGAGGCTCCGCCCATCCGCCCGGACATCTCCGCACATGTGCAGAAGCATTGCGCGAGCGCATCCATAAGCAAGCCGGTAGTGATGGGATTTGAAACCCACTACTGATTTAGACCAAATTTGATTATTTTAAGATGTAGGGACTTCAACTCCCAGAATTCCTCAGCCAGAATGATAGGAGTTGAAATCATCTTAAAGTGGCCAAATTTGAAAAACACTTCAGACCATGAAAGAGTTGTTGTTATTCCATTAGCTGCTTTTGGAAAAATGGGGAGGGGAAATGGCGCTTTCTGGATTATTATGGTGTGTTCTTTTGTCCTGCAGAGGAAGCAAATAAATGAAGATGAATACTGAAGGAATCGCAAGTGTACTTACTTCTGCCCTTGAATACTGAGCACTCCAACTTGACCTTGGACTCAGAAAAGCTGCTTGATACACATGAATGCTAATGTGGATTCTGCCAGTTATCTAGACCATCAGTCTGTGTTATAGAAGAGCGATTCTGCAAAAAACAGTGTGCTCTTTTCCAGAAAAGACTATGACAAAATAAATTATGTTCAGTGTGACATTCATTGGTTTTGATCTCCACATCCTGTTTGCAATCATGTTTTGTATGATGTTCTATAACTTTGGGACCCAACAGATCTGGATAATTAATAATAGACCTCAAAGCATACGGCTGCCCTGCAAACTCTTACTTCAGGAAAATGTAACCCTTTAGGTCTTGTGAGTCCTGTTCAAATGTTGATATAGCACACAGGCAACTGCCCAAGCCTTCTCATCAGAATTGTATTTCTTTTTCAGGCTTGTTAAGGTACATGCATTGTTATAAGTCATGGGGCTATGCTTTCCTTAAACCAATGGAGTACAATCCCCGCTAATTCATTTGTCCAGCTGGTATGAATCGAAAAAAGTTAGGTTATACGTAGGAGTTACGACTTGGAACTTTTGGACCAAGATATTATTCAGGATTACTCTTTGCATTTCAATCAAGAGGTAATAGTATATTTGTATATCCAATTTACATTTGCCACAAAGCAATTCTGAAAGATGGATCTTTCAAAGCTTTTGAACACATTATATACCCTCTAAGATATAGAGAGCACACACATACCCCTCAGTGCATGCTGTTCTATCCTTTTATAAAGGTCACTTTCAGGGATGACTGTATCCCTATGACATCATTCCACTGGATTTCTGTTAACATCTTCCATGTTATCATTTGGAAAACAGAGATTTAATTAAATGGCTCTGATACTCTGCCTTTGGCATAGAAACACCTTTACACCGTGTCTTTTTTCAAATGTTGATGTGCATCTTTCATGACGCTTGTTCACTCTATTAACCCACCTTCAACCATGTGACTAACATGGGATTTTTTTTGAAACATCCACATCTACTTTTCTAAACCTCATGCTGGTAAATTTTCACAGGAAACTGGGAATGTTTTAAGAACTGTTCTATCTTCTTGATGATATAATCAGCAATTCTGGTTCAAGTGGAGTCTCTCTTACGCAGGTTTAATTTCTTCAAAATGTCTTAGGACCTAATGTAAATTATTCCCATGGCAGAGTTTCATCTATGTACTGTAACTTCCAACCTCTGTCATTTTAGCTGATCCATGGAACAGATGTTTTTAAGGATACTTAATCAGTCCTGGACCTTAATATGCTATTTAGCTGCCTACATTTGGTTTTCAGAATTGGCCAACTAATGAAATATTAATTCCAATGTGGACTACTGTTTTTGGTACTATCCAACATCCTCGACTTAACAACAGTTCATTTAGTGACCATTCAAAGTTACACGGCACTGAAAAAAGCAATTTATGACCATTTTTCACGCTTATGACCACTGCGGCATCCCCATGGTCATGTGATCAAAATTCAGATGCTTGACACTGACTCATTTTTGACATGTGCAGTGACCCAGGATCATGTCATCCCCTTTTGTGACCTTCTGACAAGCAAAGTCAATGGTCAAAGTCATTAATTTAACAACTGTGATTTACTTAACTGTGGCAAGAAAGGTTGTAAAATGAATCAAAATGCAGATAACAAATGTTTCGCTTAGCAACAGAAATTTTGGGCTCAATTGCAATAAGTTGAGGACTACCTGTATGCAAAGTCCACAAGCACTATATCTATCCCTTCTATCTTTAAAGCGCTCCATGGCATAGGACCCGGGTACCTTCGAGACCGACTTCTGCCACAAATAGCCTCCCACCGACCAGTCCGCTCCCACAGAGAGGGTCTCCTCAGGGTGCCATCGGCCAAGTTATGTCGGCTGGCGACACCCAGGGGGAGGGCCTTCTCTGTGGGAGCCCCAGCCCTGTGGAATGAACTGCCCCCGGAAATACGTAAGATCTCCGACCTCTGGGTGTTTCGCTGCGCACTGAAGACCCTGTTGTTCCGCCAGGCCGGGCTATCAACATAATAATTTTAAATTGGGGTATTTTAAATTTCTGGGATTTTAATTGGAGCCTAATCTATTTAATGATTTTAAATTTTAATCGTTTTGTTGTTTTTAAATAGGCTGTACACCGCCCTGAGTCCTTCGGGAGAAGGGCGGTATAGAAATAAAATTATTATTATTATTATTATTATTATTATTATTATTATTATTATTATCTACAACCCACAGCAAGCTGCTCCTCAGTAGACCACAAGTTCATCATCCAAGGATTGAATTCTTCCTATGAGTACACTTCTCTTTACTCTTGAAAAGTCCTTTCTCAGTAAACTCATTCACTGACAGCAAGGAATCTATTAACCTAGAAATGAGATGCTATATTTAATTTGTACCTTTCTAAGGATCTTCAGCTCAGCTACTTTGGTTTCAAGGGAGAGATTTGTTGCAAGAATGAAAGGCTCACTGCATTAAACATAAACTCAGTTTATGCCCAGCTGACAGTCCTACATATGACACTTTAATAAACTTATACCACTAAGTCAGCTGATTTTCTATCATCATATTCCTTAGTGATAGTGATTAGCAATTTTAAAAACAATAAAAGAAACTCCTAACTTATACTTCTATAGAGTTCAGAATCCTGGCTTTCTCACACAATTCACTTGATCTCTGGAAATGGAAGGATAAAGTTTTCTTTCCTCCATTTGCCTTAATTTCTGTTTGCCCTCTCTGGACACAGACTCTACTGCTTCTCCTGTTCCTAAAGTGTGTATGTGGAGAAGCCCAGCAAGAGCTCAAGAAAGTGCATGCGTACACAGTTCATTAAAAAAAATGAAGAAAGAAAATTAGCCTCTGGCAATGAACTGTTTTCCTTAAATGTAGTTGATTAGTCGCATTTAACTTCCCTGCTTTTTTTTCTCTTCAACTCACTCTGGTCTAAGTACTGCTCTGATGATGAATTTGGCTATAAATAAAGAGCAGAAAAAGTAAATAATGTTACAGGATCTGGAAATGAAATATTCTCCTTCCTCCCATTACCATAACTTACAAAACATTTAGCACTCATAGGATTGCATCAGTAGTGCTCATATTTAATTTTTTCACTGACTAGTTTCAAATACCATCCTTAACTTTGTGACCGGTTTGATCTTATTCAACAAATCATATTATGCTTATGCTTAGCATGTGTAAACCATGTATAAGAGCTCTACAATAAACACTTCAGGTGAACATAGACAGGATATCCAAAGTATCTGTGGATTATTGGATAATCTGTTTATTGTGCGGTATTTACAAAGAAAAAAAGACAATACACCCAATAGAAAGAATAAAAATGTATTTTCCTTCTAGTTTTAGGTCAAGAAAACAAGTACAAATTGGTTAGTGAGCACTTTATGGCAATTTGGGAGTTGAGTGAACCTGATGTGAACTACAAAGTACGCAGACAATCCAGACAAGCTACCACTCGTACTATCTCAGAACGTCTCTTTTAGTGCAAAAGAGCTGTGAGCAGCCTCCTTCATTGGAGAGTAAGCCTGTATTTCAACCAAAAGATGCCTCTTGTTCTAGTCAGATAGTCAGGGTATGCAAATGAGGCTACATTGTCACCAAAGTTCAATTCTTCTTGCCAGAATGTCTTCACAGTATTCAGAGAGGAAGTACTAACATACAATCTAAATTCTATCCTAAATCTTTTTACAGACAGGCACAGAAGTGCTTTTGGGAGGCAAGATACCCCAAATAATGTGAATAAAATTAAAACTTTTGAAACATTTCTCTTTTTCCTTTTAAGATTATGCACAGATAACTTTATTTAAGCTTTTCTAAATGGAAACAAACATGTTGCTAAACCCCCAGTCTTGTTACATGACTAAATTAAAAAGGAGATATGGTGCTTTGATAACACATGTTAACCAGATTTTTTTTTTTTCAGCAAAGGGATGCATCTTAAAAGGACTCTAGATCGGAATTTGCCACACAATGAAAAGAATGGTCTTGCTACTGGCATATGAACTGAACCGTCCCAAACAGTGCCTGAAACGTATCAGTTCTCTAGCACTATCCAGCCTTGGAGAATTTTCTAATCTCAAAAGTCTATTTGGTCCATTGTTAGGAAGGCAACTGAAGTCCCAGCTACCCCAAATCTATCATTACATCTGAATACAGAAGACGTTTAAAAGAAAGTAACCAGGGATAGTCTAGGAGATGCTTACTGTAAAACTAACAAGTGTTTTATACTCTTCTAATTTTTAAAAAAACTGATAAGGTTCAGTCATAACCAGTTCTTCTTAGAGTTTAAAATTTACAATATATTCTGTTGAACAGTATATTTGTAATGATTTTGAAAACAGAATTGTCACTTTATCTCTACTGGAAGAAAATTAAGACTATTTGTCCTGAAGTTAATATATAAGTAAAAACAGCATTCTATTTAAAAAGGTACTTTCTAAAGTCTAGCATTTTAGACTAGTTAACACAGTTGATAACATTACATTCATTAACATTTGTTGGTTCTAGATCTGGGCATATAGCAAGGCTGAAAAGATAGCACTAATACCACCTTTCCTTATTTTACAGTAAGGATATAATCTATCTTTCTGAGAACTGCTCTCTAAAAAAAATACAATTTCACACATGGCCAATATGACACCAATGGCATAAAGCAGACCTACGTAACAAGTGGACTGCCACAAACTTGGTATATTCCTACTTTTGAACTCCAGGTTGGGTTGCAGAAATGTTTTATCAAGCACTCTTGTGCCACATTATCAGGCTGGCAATGACATATTGCCCAAGGCTATGTATTGGACAGACCTGGCATAGAATTTGGGTACTCTGACTCCCCTCTGCAGGCAATAAATGCATAGATCCATACTGCAGAAATTGTTACTTTTACCACATCCTTTCATTTTATTTCCCTTGTGAAACTTATTCAGGTTTATATGGCCCACCTTTGGAGAGCAAAGTTCACTGGACTCAGAACTACCCTGAGCACCAAAGATCAAAAATGCATGTGTGTGTATGTTATATATATATATATATATATATGTAAATAATTTCAAAAGGTTCAATGGCTAAAGAAAAGTATGTCCAAAAAAAATAAGAAAAAAAGTTATCCAAGCAGCAGAGCAGACACCTAAGGATTTAGTTGAGTCTAG